TTCTTCAAGTGCTTAGGATGTATTTTTAAACTATTTAAATGTATTTAATTTGTATCTTTTAAATTTTTTATATATATTTAAATTTAACGATTTTATTAAATTCATGTTACCCTAAATAAATATATGATTTTAAATTTAATTAATTTTTTCTGTAAAATATTAAAATAAACAATTAAATATATTAAATAAGAAATTTAAAAAGAGATTTTATATTATTTTATATTTTTATTTTCTTTTATTTATTATATATATATATTATTTTAATTAATTTAAATCCTTAGTCACTAAAAAAGTCTAAATATTTTACTACTAAGATTTTTGCTACCACAAAACTTTGGTTGATATTTGGTACGCTAATTGAATTAGCAACCAAATTTTATTGTCTTGCTACTTAAATTTGGAACTTTTTTTTCGTGAATGTTCAAGAATAATTTTGAAAACCTAAAGTTATATGATCCTATAAAAAACGATACAAAAGAGGTAAAGATATAGGTATAATAGATGAAATAATAGAAAAAGAGAAAGAAAGAAAGTTAATAAAGTGTTTAAAAACATGAAATGTTAGAAACAATACTATTCAAACTTTTTACTAATTTATATATCAAAATATCTTTGTAGATATATTTCTATTGTTTGAGAAACCAAAAAAAAAAAAATAGATCATAATCGACAATCTCTACGATCAAACCTTGCAATATCTAGTAATTTAATTTATGAAAATGTTCTTCCATTTGAAATGGTGGGTACAAAATTAAATGCCTAATAGATCAAATTAAAAAAAAAAATTACTAAAATAGAGCTATGTTGATTGTTGATTAGGTGAACTTGACATTTTGACAAACGAGGTATATATAGTTCATGTCATCTTATTTTATTTTCTAAAATTGAACTAGGAGTCCACATGATGTGTCATATTGGATTGAAATTCTAGATGCATATATATCACATGTGAAGAATAAGAAAAGGAACCAAAGACAATAACTACTAGATTGTACAAGCCCACCACGTGATAGATATTCATGGATTACGAGAATAATAGCATCTCGGATGCACAAAATACTTATAAAAAAATAATAAAGAAGTTACTAAATTAATATAATATAGCGTGTCGAATCTCTAACATAATTATAAGAACATAATCATTATCACATATCATTATCTCTAAAACAAGTAAATAACAGGAAATAGGGGAATGAAAAATAAATAAATTGATGCGAGAATAATAAAGATTAAAATCAAATTGCTATAGAATATTAATGACAATTAAAACTAAACAGAAAGAGAATTTAAATAATTGAAATTTATAAAATTAAAATAAAATGTTTTTAATTAAAAATGCAAGAATCAAGAATTGTTTTGAAATAAAATAGTGCATTAATTAAATTTGAAATTAACAAAAATAGAATTTGAATAAAACAATAAGAAAGTAATTGATTTCCTGATTCGAATATAGTGTCACTTATCCTAGGTTACGAAATTAGATTGATTTAACCCTTATTCCAACCCGAAATTAACCAACTAAGCGAAGATTAACCCAAATTATTCTTATACAATTAAGCATTGCATACATCACATAATCTCATATCTAACACATGATTAAGCAAACTGTTATATTGGTTTTGGTTTATTAAACATAAACAAGTTATAATTCAACACTGAGATTAGGAGATGAAGAGTTAAGAGAACAAACGAAATAAAAGAATAAAACCTCAAAAGATCTACTGCATTCTCCTCAGAAAATCAATACAAAGATTTAATTATCCATGGAAAAATCGAAACGTAAAAGAAGAGACATAATTAAAATTGAAACAAAGAATGTACTAAAAATAATGACAGAAGAGTAAACGAATAAGACAAAAATAGTGTTCGGAGGATGCGGCTGCGTGATGTGTGTCTCTGTGATGTGCCTCCTCGTGATGTGTCTCTATATGATGTGTCTCTAACGTAAATAACCATAAACTCTAATCTTAATCTATGTTTGGGTCCAACTAGCCCACAGAACACATCAGAAACAAATAGAACAAAAATCTTAATCCTAATGGACATCTGACCCAATCTTTCAAGTCCAAAATTACTTTAAATTGTCCTGAATTATTGGCCCAATGAAACCTAATTAATAAAAATTCACTAATAACATATAATTAAGCCCAAAATACTAATTAAAATAAGTAAAAAAGATAAGGAAATACGAGAATATAATGACTTAATCACCCATGACAAATTTTCATAAATTGTGTTAATATTAACACATATCCCACTTGTATATTTTATAATTAACATGTTATTTAGTTTTTTATTTTAAATTTAAAAAAATGAGATTTGTAACTTGAATTAACTAACTATAATGTTTTTTTTTCATATAGAATGTAATTAGCAATACTAGATGATTCCTATTTGGGTAATCCTTAAACTTAACTTTGCAATATAATTGATTTAGAATTAAATTAAAATTTTTAACTTTTTAAAATAAATTTCAAATACAACCAATTTTTTTTCAATGTTTGGCTTAAATCTAATTTTAAAATATAATTTAAATAAAAAATTCATGATGATTTATATTAAAAAAAATTACCATAACAAATCAAACTCATAAAAAAAAGATAAATGGTACATTTCTCAAAATTTAGTGATATTGTGTTTTCTCTTTCTTTATTTTCTCCATACATTTTTGTCAGGATGACGGTCAGCCTCGTTTTTGTCCGCCCGCCTTTGGTCCATCAAAGCGGGCGAGCTAGCTCGTTATAGTCATGACGGGTTGTAGACCTTGGTCCGTCCCGTCAAGGGGTAGGTTGACAGTGCGACCTGCCATAATTTAGAAAAAAATAATTTATTTTTTAAAATAAAAAATTTCAATAAATTTAATAATAAGATTATTATTTGTTTGTCAATAATTTAATATATATATATATATATATACATATATATTATTTTAATTTAATAATATAAATCAATACATTGTTTTAAGAAATTATAATTTAGAACAATAATAAAATTTACATAACAATAAATAAATAAAAATATATATATATATATATATATAATGTTAAAACTTATAAAATTTATATTTTTTATATTGAAAAATTCAAATATCTATATCTTTTTTATTTGATAAAATTTCACATTATTGTTGGTTGAGTAATTCTTACACCTTTAATTCAAGTCATAAGGATAAAAATAATCGGTGCTTAGGATGAACAAGGAGAACAGGAGAGAGAATGATGTGTTTCAATAAGGAGAATATTTCCTGTGAGAGTGAAATTTTTTTAATTCTCTTTTTAAAATTTTTAACTTATATATTATCTTTATAATTAACTTTATTACAATAAAAAAATATTTTTTTATTAATTAGGCGGGCCGCGAGTTAGTCCGATCTCGTCCCACGGGTTGACCCGACGAGTTTGTGAGCTTGGCGGAGCTGGCCAAAGCGGCTGATGAGCTGAAAACACCAACCCGCCTCACCATATTATAGCGATCGGCCTGCCGGACCTAACCCATTTTCTCATTCCTATTTTTGTCTTAATTGTTTTATCATCGCGTTATAAAAAATATTCATCAAACACTGTTAATAAGATTAAATATATTTAATAAAAATTTAGAAAATAACTCAAATGCCTTTTCAAATATTGACTTAGTCCCTTAATTTTCAAAATCAATTATATATCTTAATTTTTCTCTAATAAACATTAATTTTACCTTTATGTAACTAAATAACACTTTCTTATCTTATATATTTAACATATTCAAAATAAGGTATTAATTAAATAAAACTCAATCGGACGTGTATCACACATGAAGAAACTAGCTAGCTGTATTAGCAAAAAGTATGAGAATTTCTCATACGGCGAACTCACAAAACGTAACTTTTTTTATTTAGAATGATTCATAAACTGTGACAACCATACAGAAATTAGTTAAAATTGAGTAAGAATAGAAAAAATGGATAAATCGAACTAAATTGTCGTAAAACTTATTTTACTTTTTAAATTAGTTTGATAAACTTTAATGTAATTTATACTTAATTTCTTAGACTATTTGAAGCATAACTATTATCTATTAATATTTATAAAGTATATTTGTTAATTTCGTAAACTATAGTTTAAAGTTTAAGCAATAAGCAGTACTATTAATAAGTAATACACTTTAAAAAGTAAACTTTTAAAACAATGTAATTATATTTTTTTCAATATGATTTGGTTTTTTCAATAAATTCAGTTCAATTCAAATTCTTTTGAGCAGTTTTAACCATCAACGCAATCTATTAGAATTTATCATATGGACTCTCAATTCAGTTTTCAATAAAATGAAATGATGTAATTCATTAAAGTGTGAAAAGTTAACTTATCAATAATTAAAACAGTTTCATATCAGTAATCATTTCAAAATTTGCTTCAGTTTGGTTAAGCAACCCCAACATATCTACTTAGATTTTTGTTAAACTTGTTCGTCTTTACTTTTTAAAAATTTAATATTGATCTAAAAACTAACAAAACACGAGATCCCAATAGGTTAATTGTGTTTGGAATAACCCATAATGTGAAAAAAAAAAAATAATATCAAATATGTACTTTCATAATTTTATAGAATAGAATTAATCTTGTGTATTATTAAAATACACTAAAAAAACATTTCCAAAGGCCAAAGTGTAATGGATTATGTCATGGTCAAAATGGGTTGGAGATAATCGCTGTTATGGCGCGTGGTGCTGAGGCTAGTGTCAGCGAACCATACTTTCGATCAAAACCAGACCACAATTCCCCATGCCAGACGTCATGTCCTTCGTTTCTAAAGCTTTGGTTTTCCTCGTCGGTTTCTCAACTAACTAACTTCGTCCCCATTACCCACTTTACATTATCAAAGACAAACACAAACTCTTACCTCTGCAACCCACTCCCAACCCCCTAACAATCAAAAAAGAAAAGTGCTAAAGCTCCTTTGACCTTTCCTCTCCAACCTTAAACCAAAACAATAGAATATTGTACCAAACCACAAGGGATAATAGCATGTCTTCTTCGTCCTATTCCACAAAGGACCAAATCTCCCTTGCCCTTCGTCACATTCTTCTTCGTTCCTCCCTCACAGCCCACGAGGGTAACCACGCACGCAATCCCATGTCCATGTCCACGCCCATGCTGGGGTTCTGCACCTCCAAAACTGCACAACAAAAGGCACTACGAGATGGGATCTCGGACTACAAGGGTTCTTCTGCTGCCAACGTGTCTTCTTCGTCGGTGGCAGTCAATACTGAGAATGGAACCGATGACTGCCACTGCGAGAGTGAGGTGCTGCTTCGAGTTTGTCATATTACTCGTTGTTGAATATTGCTTATGTTATTGCTACTATTATATATGTTTTCTGGTGTTTTTATGTGGTTGCTTTATATTATTATTATATGAATAATCTGAAATAGGAGGGTGAAACGTTGGTAGAAGAGGTTCGAGTTACGCCGAAGTGCTTTCGTTCTGGGAGTTCCTCCAAAAGAAGCAGAGCCGCGGAAGTTCATAACTTGTCTGAAAAGGTATGGATTTTTTTTCTTTCATGGCAGGCGCGTATAATTACTTTGTAAAGTGGGGAAGCTGCACTTCACCTGCATTGCACCCCCAAGATAAGAAACCTCTTCACATATTTTATTAAAGCTAGTGTTAAATAATTGCAATAAAATTTACAGAAAATTTATATTTTATTAAACCTGTGTTGATATAATGCCCAACCAAGAGTTTGTGAATAAATTTTATCAATGTAGTATCCGAATATGCCGAGATCACAACAATTTAGTCCTGTCAATTTTGTGACGAAGGTAGTTCCCAAATTTGGTCAATGTCACAAAAAAGGACTAACTTGTCATGAATTTGCTAGATTCGGGTAAATCATCACAAGCCGTCATATGTACATTCACTCCAAAAATAAAATCTTCAGGTTCTGCCCCTGTGTGATGGCTTGGGTTTGGCTATTTATTCATGATTGAGTAATTTTCGTGTCTGGCTTTTATGTCTGGTGTGGGGTATGTTGAGCAGAGGAGGAGGAGTAGGATCAATGAGAAATTGAAGGCTTTGCAAAATCTAATTCCTAATTCTAACAAGGTAATCTGATTTCTTCTACATTAGTTTGATTTGCGAGCTACACCATTCATGGTTCTTTTGACCCTGGAGGATTGTTGTGTGGCAGACCGATAAGGCTTCAATGCTTGATGAAGCTATTGAATACCTTAAACAGCTTCAGCTCCAAGTACAGGTCTGTATCTCTTTGTGTCTTTCATTTTTATTCCAATTCCTTGTGAGGGGCGTAATTTATTCTTGTACATCCTTTCTTATTGGAATTTACGAAGTTACTAATCATGAGTAATGTTTTATTATTTGTTTTTTATGACAAGTTTTGAATAATGTTTTGTTACTACATATAATTTCAATGTTTAGTATCCACAGTATGTTAACTTTTGAATATTCAGGTATGTCTATAGTATAAATTAGCTTCACTATAGTAAAACTAATAAAAAGGAAGTTTCACTATAAATTTGCTTCACAATAACTAATTTCCAATTAAAATTAGTCAGTCTATAGTATAAATTTTAAGTGTGGCAAATACACATACCACTGTTTTTTGCCATACACCCTAACACGAGTGCCTTTACCTTATTTTTAGATTTTTTTTCATTTTTTTATTCTTTTATAGTCACTTATAATAAGGGTTCACACTATACTAGATATCCATGTATCTTTTTCCAAATGTTTAAAGGTTTAATTACTCATCTAGTCCTATAGTTATATAAATTCTACTTTTCAATCCCTGTACTTGAAATCTTTCATTTTAGTCCGTATACTTAAACATATAATTTTAATATTTTTTTTTCAGTCTAGATATGTATATGCTACTTTGGATCTTCTTTATTCTTTACCGTCTATGTTCAAAGGGTTTAAAAATAGTATAAATAAAAACTAAAAGAAATTATTTTGAAGTACATGAATTAAAAAGTAAATTTTGTTCAATTATACGGACAAAATGCATAGTTAAACTAATTTTAAATTAATCTCTGTCATAACAAGCAAGAACAAGGTTTCTGCTTTGTGAGGAGGGGAAATATTAATGAATAATGTATGTGGGCTTGATTCCAATTGGTTCAATATCTCACTTATATCACCCTTACTTAGAGCATCTTCAATGATGGGTTTTTATAAGAACCCACCTTGGATTCTTAAATGGGTCCCACTGTACCACATCATATTTAAGCAATTCTCTTCAAATTTTTACAAATTCACTCCAATGATGGGTTCTTATAAGCAACTCACCATTCAACTACCACTTTTGATTTTAATGGGACTCGTTATGTCACATCAGTAATAATTATAATATATAATTAATTATTAAAATAAAATAAATAATATATTTAAATTAAAAAAAATTAAAAATAAAATTGACATTGAAAATACGATTAACATTAATTAAAATACAAAATATTAAACAACAATAACAATAAAAATAATCAGAAAAATGTTAGAAATATAAAATGATAAATGGATGTTAAGACATAATACACTCTAGTTATTAATCTCATGTCCAAAACATTTCCAGATATGTTTCACCAAGTCATTTTGAAATTGTCGATGTTGTTGTCTATCACGAAGATGTACTCTCTTTTGTAAGTACGTTACGCTAAACATAGGATGAGAACCAATAGTTATATCATCCGTAGATAGGAGTTCATTGGTACTTTGATCATAGTCAAAGTTAATATTATATGTGTGTTGTTCATCTTCAACTATCATATTATGTAGTATGATGCATGCATACATGATGTTCTTCAATTTATTGACATGCCAAACACATGCTGGTCCACGAATGCAAATCGAGATTGCAACACTCCAAAGGCACGTTCTACATCTTTTCTTGTTGATTCTTGCCGATCAACAAATAATTTTCTCCTTTCCCCTTGTGGCATAGGGATGGTCTTCACAAAGGAGCCCACTCTGGATAAATACCATCGGCTAGATAGTATCCCATGTTGTATTTCGTTCGATTCACCATGTATTGTATAGTAGGAGCTTGTCCTGATAAAACATCGTTAAATACATTTGAAGCATTTAAGACATTAATATCGTTATTCGAACCTGCGGTACCAAAAAAGGCATGCCAGATCCATAAGTCTTGTGATGCTACAACTTCAAGCATGATTGTAGGTTTTCCATGATTACCACGAGTAAATTGTCCTTTCCAAGCAACTGGACAATTTTTCCATTCCCAATGCATATAATCAATGGAACCTAACATACCTGGAAAGCCACGTGTATTTGCCATCTGAAGTAGTCGTTCGATGTCTTCTTTGTTGGGTTTTCTAAGTTATTCCTCTCCAAAGATGGTGCACACTCATGATACAAATCTCTCCAAGCATTCGACAACGGTGCTCTCACCAATTCGACGTATTCATTTGTACTATCGGCAGATGATCCATATGCTAATATGCAAATTGCGGCTATGCATTTTTGTATTGGGGAAAGTCCATGCTTTCGAGTTGCATCCACCCTCATATGAAAATATTCATCATGAAGACCAAGGGCTTCGACGATTCGAAGGAACACATGTCTTTGCATTCGGAACCTTCGTCGAAAATGAGCATCACTGTAAACTGGATTTTCTGAGAAGTAATCGTTGAATAAGCGATCATGTCCTTCTTCACGGCGTCGATCTATGAACGTTCTTATCTTCCTTGACCTTCTATTGTTGACAAATTGTTGATGCCTCCGAACTGCAATCTCATTTAGTCTTCGTTAATGTCATCTTGTAGTTCTTCATCTACTATTTCATCTAATAAAGCATTAAACTCCTGATTAGAAGTTGAAGACATGATGTTCAAAGGAGAATGTGGAGGTGTAAGTTTTGAGAGAAAATTAGAATGAGATGTGATGGTGAAAATGTTGTGTGAAGTAAGTTATATATACTGTCATCAATAACGACTATATTGTAACGACTATATTATAACGACTATATTGTAACAAGTATATTGTAACAGCTATATTGTAACAAGTATATTAATAAAAACTAACTTCATAAATAAATTTCGGTACAACTACAAATACATCAAATTTGCAAAAATAAAACAAATACATAAAATTACACAATAATTATAATTAAAGTTCTAATTTGCGGTTAACGAAATCACAAAACTTTTGATAAGTTTCTAATTGTTTAGGAGTCATTCCAGTTTTGTCCTTCATGAGAATTTCATACCATTTGTTGTAATTTGCAATCTCCTTTGCTTCCGCCATTCTTTTCATTGCATCGGTTTTTTCTTTCATAGCATGTGTCAAAGCTACTAGCTCAACTGAATCGGTAGATGATTCGGTAACCTTTTGTTTATTTGTCCTTTTCGCTGCCTTTTGACCAATTGGACGTGAGACTGTGTTTGTTGGATCGTATTCTACTTCATCATTTTGCGCATCCATGTTAGAAGATGTTGAATACTGCCCAATATTTGAAATCTTCGACCTCTTACAAGAGTTGTCGGAGTTGTCTGATTTTCACTTGGGCTCTTCTTTTATTAACCACCATGCATGCTCATAGTTAAATTTTTTGTTTACATCTTGCGAGTAAATCACATATGCATCTGACATGATGTCTTTTTCGGAGCTTCCACTTTTTCTTTGAGCACGTGCTTGTTTGTAACAACTGACAAACAATTGAGCTGCCTTGTTGATTCGGAACCATCAACTTTTTAGTTGAACTGGTTTCCTTTCTGGAAAATGATGGTGGTAGGTGTTGTAATTCTCCATGATTCTGGCCCAGAATGAATTTTCGGTTTGATCGACTCCCATTATTGGATCCTTCAACACATTCAGCCACACTTGAACAAGCAACGTGTCTTCTTCTACTGAGAAACTAACACGTGATTTTTTCTTAGACGACGCACCTTCTTCTCGTTGTTCATCTACCTCCAATGTGATATTTTCTAGACCAACTAGGGATGGAGATACTAAATCAATCGGTGACTTTACAGGATTTGTAGGTTGTGGTGGGTACATAAGATAAAAAGGATATGGCGGATGATTATTGGAAGTAGGTGGTGGTGGGTACATAGGATGATTATGGGAACTAGGTGGAGGTTGCTGATTATCATCAGAACCGGAAGTAGGTGGAAGTGGTGTATGATTTTACAAATAATTAATATAATTTTGGAAATTATATTGATTTGGATCCATCTTTCTAAAAAACAAATAAGAGGTGCAATTGGTTTCTAACTTGGATGCAATTAAAAAAAACATTGTCTTTCATTATGCTATCATTTATAGGAGAGTGTTGCCTCTCCAACGATCTAAAACGGCCAGCAACGTCTCTCCCAACATATCTAAAATAGTCATTCAACGTTCACTTTCCCAAAGTTATCTTCTTTCTTTTATTCCTTCCCCGCCTCACTTTCTCCCTCCTTCTCATTTTCTCCCCACCCTCCCTTCCCCACGCAAATTTTCTTTCTCCCCTCTCCCCCACCCCAACCCTTCCCCACCCGAAACCCGCGAGACCAACCCCATCCTCCCTTTTCCACTTTCATTTTCTTTCCCCCACCCCCACCCCCACCCCAACCCTTCCCCACTTTCATCCTCCGACCCAGCCCCCCCCCCACCACCCCAAACCTACAAGACCAACCCCCCTACCCTCCCCACTGCCACACCCCAATCTGCAAGACCCAGCCCCCCACCCTAACCCGCCAGACGACCTAAGAGTTGGACCGCTCGCCGTCACAGAAGCTGGGGCGAGTTGCGCCACCTGGCCAGATTGCTGGATGAGGTTCATTTTTGGCTTTCTGCTTCCGTGGAAGCTCAGATGGAGGGAGCGGAGCTCCGAATTTAAGGTGGAGCCTACCTCCATGAGGCACCAGCGAGCCACCTTCAGTCTGATTTGTTGAATTTTGTTGGTGAGAACCGCGGGAACAAATTGAAAAAATTTGGAAAAAACAACTCTTAGAAACATTGCTTCTACAAGATACGGTGCTTAACTTTTCAAAATTGTTGTTGCCACGTCGAATTGCTCTAATGACAATTTCTTATAAGCATAGTTGCTTATAAGCAACTGGGACCATAAACAACTTCCGTTGGAGTTGCTCTTAGACATTCTTTTCGTATGTGTGACTTTCATCTCTTGCAGTTATATTCCAATCATTGAAGTACTTATTATTTTCCATATGAAACCTAGATACTTAGTACCACACGGGCACAAACAGATATAGGGACAAAGCAATATTTTCAAATTTAGGATACGATACATCAATTTTGATCAGTAAAAAGACATTGATACTGTCTCAATAATTCATAACTACAATGATCACAACTTACAAAAAGACATTTGTGTTCATGACAAACAAATATAGTTTTTATCTTTATCATCATCAATCTTGACTAACTGTATTAATAAAACCATCTATGATAGAACTCAACAAAAATTGACTTATACTATAATTTGTAATTTTAAAACAGTTAAATTTCTATCTAATGCTAGTTTGTTCTTCTCTTCTCCATTATTATCATCTAGAAAAATTATAGTTTTTATGTTTAGTTCATCAAGAGAGATCCCTCACTAATTCAAGAAGTTGAACACTGCTTATATTGTTCGCTTTTAAGTTTGGCTTCGTCATGATTTTGTTATTAAAATGAGTTTTAAGGAGTTAAGGAAGAATAGTATATATAAACTATCATTCACTTTGACTTATAAGAAATATAGAACTTATAAGTGTACTGGAACAAGTGAAACACTATCACCTACTACAGGGTTGAACAGAAGAGTTTTGGTTTACTTTTATCTTCTAGTCCTCAATTGGGAGACTTGTTTCGCCTATAAGTTGCATATTGTTAAAGTAATTTATATACATCATTCTTCTTTAATTTATTAAGATGTCTTTTAAGAATAAAATTATGACTGAATTAAACCTATATTTTAAATAATATCATAACGGACTTAAAGTCAATACAGTGACAATTAAACCGCAAAATGTTTTTTAAGAATAAAACAAATGATGAAGCCAAACCTCATCTCTAAAACAAGTAATATCTCATATTTGAGTAAAATTTAATAAAAAAAAGAATGGGATAATTTTTGGATACATATTTGAAAGTATACAAAATGATGAATTCAATGTTACTTATGCTTGTTATGTTTAGTTTTTCAACACTGCTATAATATGCTCTGCAAACCAATTAGAGAATTGAACAATCATAAAATGTAGTTTATTTGGTAAATGCTGATACTTGCAGAACTAAATATCAACTTGTAAATTACATTATATTATATTGTGTTGCATGCATCAGGAAATACTTCATTTATATTCTTGATATGTATCTCTTTTTACCAAAACCCACTGTTATGCGCTGACTCTTAAATTTTGACCATGTTAACATTGTTGTATGCTAATACCAGATGCTGTCAATGAGAAATGGGTTGAGTTGGCATCCTATGTTCCTTCCAGAAGGTTTGCAACCTCCGCAATTGTCTCAGATGAGAATGGATTCAAGTGAAGAAAACAGGTCTATCCCTTCAAACACTACAGCAACTCTGCCTATGCACCAAGAAAACCCCATGCACTATTCATCCAATCTTCCTAACAAACACACAGTAGCAGATCAGCCATCCATGTCCACCCCAGCATATGTATTCAACTCAGAAACTTCTTTCAGGCTGGAATCTCCCATCCCTGAAAATATAAGATCATTTCAACTCAGAAGCTTTTCTGAGGTTAGCTAACTTTTGTTTACCAACATATGCCTTGTTAAGAGTATAACAGTATTCTTTTTACATTTTTTTCCATTTTATAAAGCAGATATGCAGAGAAGACATATTGCGGCACCAACATTTGAGTGCAAACCATTCAGATACCAATCCATTAGGTTGCTCTCAAGGTGATCATTTTTCTTTCCAGAGAAATTATTGTAGCTCTTTCATTGGGAAATAATAATGTCATATACTAATCGAACTCCCCCCCTTCCCCTACCCTAAAATTGAATCAGACACATTGGCTACAACATCACTTTCCTTTGATATATAAACATCTGCAGTTAAAGACAACATCATTTTGGAAAACTGCATCCCTGGAAGTGATCGATCTGGAGTGGTGTTGAGAAATAGTGAGCCCAACACTATTCTGACCCAGCGGTTAAGTGGGTAATTGTAATTGGAATGTTGTGAACAAGAAAAACATGTTTGATGTATATCTCAACTCAAATGTCTTTATATTGTTTTACCGGTATGAGATTTTTGAAAGACTGCAGATGGGAGACAATGTTAGAGTCTAATACACCTCAAGTATTTTGAACACTTTATAGATGTGAGTGGAAGATTACACAGTGCTTGAGATAATAATTGAAATCTATAGCAAATAAATAGTACTTGACACCGATATGCACTTATCACTATTTACACCAACAAAATAAATAAAGAAATTGTATACTAGAATTTTTACGTGGAAAACCCAATAAGGAAAAAACCACAGGACAATCTCCGAATATAATACATTATATTAAAGGATAATTACAATACCCTATTTGAACTCTTTTTATCAAGAGGTACCCGTATTCTAGTAAGACTCTTTTCTACTACAAATGTAATATTATAGAGCACTAGAGAGTATACCAAAAAAACAATCCCAAGTATAATTTCCAGTGTATACACACAACACTCTTGAAATTTCTCACAACTCTAATTTTTCTCTCACTATGCGAAGCACTTTGTTTGTGCTTGTTATGCCTTAAGCCAATGCAATGAAGCCTATTTATAGGCAACTCAATGCTCTCAATACATATAAATGCATTTATTGCTTACCATCCATTTTCACCATAGCTAGCTTGTAGCCTTCATCTACGCACCAAAAAATTGCTTGCCTTTGTTGACAATTATATGAGAGAAAGAAAAATCTTCCCTCTTATGTTGAAATGCAAGCCACATGTTCTCACAATTCTCCACCTTGGCTTGCATTTCATTAATGTTGGTCTTCAACTTCTGCAAATATCGATCATGTCCAAGCAATGTTTGAACTTATCAAATGGCAACGATTTCGTCATCATGTCTGTTGGGTTCTCAGTTGTGGGTATCTTCTGTACTGCAACTATGCCACTGTTGACACTTTCTCTGATAAAGTGGAGTCTAATATCAATGTGCTTCGTCCTTTCATGATAGATTGGATTTCTATCCAAGTGAATGACACTCTAACTATCACAATGTACTATTGGTACTTGTTGAGTCAACCCAAGACTATCCAAAAGACCTTTCACCCATATGCTCTCTTTCACAACCTCAATCAATGACATATACTTAGCTTCAGTAGTTGATAATGCAACAGTTTGTTACAATGTAAAGACATATCCTGTCAACGACCTCTGTTTATCCATATCTCCTGCATAATCAGAATCTATATAGTGTACAACTCCTTGGTTCTTTTTACCATCAAACATCAAACAAACATCAGTGGAGTATCTCAAGTATCGCATGATCCATTTCACAGCTTCCCAGTGTGTTTTTCCTGGTTTGCTCATGAATCTGCTTACTACACTCACTGCATATGAAATATCTGGCCTAGTGAACACCATTTCATACATGAGACTGCCAACTGCATTGGAATAAGGTATACAAGCCATATGCTCCACCTCCTCCTTGGTTCTTGGACACTTTTTTGACGATAACTTGAAATGTGCAGTTAAAGGAGTACCAACTGGTTTGGATTGCTCCGTATTAAAACGTTGTAGCACCTTCATTATATAATTTTGTTGTGATAAACACAACCTGCCACAATGTCTCTCCCTATGAATCTCCATCCCAAGAATCTTCTTTGCTGCACCCAAGTCCTTCATCTCAAATTCTGCTCCCAACTGAGTTTTTAGCATATTAATTTCAGCTTTGTTACTTGCTGCTATTAACAATTCATCCACATATAACAACAGATAAATATCCTAGAACCATCTGGAAACCTTTTAGAATAGATGCAATTATCATATTGATTTCTATCATATCCATTACCGATCATGAATGCATCAAACCTCTTGTACCATTGCCTCGGGGACTGCTTCAAGCCATACAATGACTTCTTCAACAAGCATACATGGTCCTTCTTTTCAGGAACTATGAACCCCTCATGTAGATTTGTCCCTCTAACTTACCATGTAAGAACGCAGCCTTCACATCAAGTTGTTCCAGCTCCAAGTTAAACGTACTCACAATAGCTAATAGGATCTGAATCGAGCTATGCTTCACCACAGGAGAGAATACTTCCTGGAAGTCAACACCCTCTTTCTGAGTATAGCCTTTGTTACCAGTCTTGCCTTGAACCTTGGAGGTTCAATGCCCTTGATTCCTTCTTTCCTCTTGAAAACCCATTTGCAACCAATTGTTCTTTTCCCTTTTGGTAATTGTACTAGCTCTTACGTCTGATTTTTCTGAGGAGATTCAATCTCCTCATTCATTGCTATTAGCCACTTCTCTGACTCTTTACTGTTTACTGCATCGTGGTAGGTAAGTGGTTCATCTTCTACCGCACCATCCTCTAAAGCCAAAGCAAAGGTTATAGGATCTGCATTTGACAAGTCAAGTACACAGGCAACAGAGTTTCGATATCTTATAGGTTTTTGAATTACTCGTCTATCTCTGCTAGTAGCAATTCTGTATGGTTCTTCATTAGTTTCTCCATTAACATCCTTGTTGTTAGGTTCATCTAGTTGTTTTACTTCAGGTTAGTTAGTACCTAAAGTACTCGGTTGATTTGCGTCTTCTTCTTGATTCATTTTCCCAACGTCAATCTCTAGCTCCACCTGTTTCTCAGCACCATGTTCTGTTACTGCTTGATCTCTGCAAGATTCTCGCTTTTGATTTACCATTATCGCCTCATCAAATGTGACATCTCTGTTGACAATGATCCTGGGTAAAGATGACTTTTCATTACACTACAATTTGTATCCTTTCACCCCTCGTGCATACCCTAGAAATATACACCTTCTTGCCCTCGCCCCAAGTTTACCATCTCTCTCATGGGTATATGCAGGACAACCAAATATCTTTAAATCAGAATAGTTTACAGGTCGACCGGACCATACCTCTTGTGGAATCTTCAGATTAATTGCAGTTGATGGAGATCTATTTACCAGGTATACAGTTGTATTAACTGCCTCAACCCAAAATGATTTGGGAAGTTTAGCGTTGATTCGCATGCATCATGCACGCTCTAGAAGTGTCTTATTAATCCATTATGCAACTCCATTTTGCTATGGTGTTCCGGATACAGTATGATGCCTCACTATACCTGCCTTTCTGCAAAACTCCTGAAACTCTTTGTTGCAGAATTCTTTGCCATTGTCGGTTCTCAATCTTTTGACTGATCGCCCGATTTGCTTCTCGACCATGGCCTTCCATTGTTTGAATTTCTCGAACACTTCATCTTTTTGCTTCAGGAAATAAATCCATACCTTCCTGGAATAATCACCGATTAGAGTAAGGAAATAATGAGCTCCACCCAATGAGTTAACAGGGGCATGACCCCACACATCTGAGTGAACATACTCTAATATCCCCTTGTTGATGTGTTTTACACGACCAAACTTCACTCGTTTATGTTTTCCAAATACATAATTTTCACAGAAACCGAGTTTGCAATTCTTCAAACCTTTCAGCAGTCCTCTACTAGCAAGTATAGACATCCTCTTCTCGCTCATATGACCAAGCCGCATGTCCCACAATCGCGTAGCATCATCATTTGATCTCTCAAAAGATGTGACAGCAACAATCCCAGAGACTGTGCTTCCCAATAATAGATAGATCCCTCCTTGTAACTTTCCTTTCATCGCCACCATCAAGTCTTTGATAACCTTCAAGAAATCGCCTTCTCTAGAGAACTTGTACCCGTAGTTGACTAGGGCACTCAATGAAATTAGGTTTCTGCCTAGCTCTGGTACATGCCATGCCTAAAATCTCCACTTAGTGTCGTCGTCCAATCTGACTCACACCTCTCCTTCGCCCACAACAGCAATGACCATGTTGTCTCCTAACCTGACCTTTCCTGAGGAGAAAAAATGTCTATTAGGTGTCATGTGAAAAGATGCCCCAGAATCCAGGATCCACTCTTTACTTGAGTCACTAGGGGAAACTGTAAAGGCAGACTCGACATCATTATCTTCTGAACTCTCAACTATTACGTTGACAGAACTTCCTGATTTCTTTCTCTTAGGACAATTTCTTCGGATATGTCCTGCTTGATGACAATGAAAACACTTTATAGTTTTATGACCTTTTGATTTGGATCTTTTACCACTTTTGTTTCCCATTCCTTTTTCTTGACTACGCCCTCTCGCCACGAATAGTCCATCTGCAAGATTATCAACACTTGATCCTGAAGCTAATTTCTGATGTTCCTTCGTCATCAACGCCTCTTTGACGATTTTGACAGTAATGGAGGACCTACCATACATTATGGTATCACAGAAATTATCATAGGATGATGATAATGAAGTCAATAAGATCATAACTTGGTCAATATCTCCAACTGTTATTCCAGTTGTTTGCACATCGGTGATCATCCGATTGAAATCATCAATGTGGTCTCGCATTGATTTATTTCCTGAATATTTGAACGTGTATAGTCGTTTTCTTTGGTAAAGTTGGTTTGACAGAGTCTTTACAGAGTATTTTTCTTCTAGAGCCTTCTATAGTGAATCTGAAGTCTTCTCGCCCATAACTTCTCGCAACACACTATCTGCTAGGCTTAGTTGTATTGTACTCCGTGCTTTGGCCATTATCTCTTCCTTTTTATCAGGAGATAGTGCTTCTAGCAATTTTTCTATGCCTTCCAATGCCTTTGTGAGACATTGCTGGTCTAGCAATGCCTGCAGCTTCAACTTTCATAAACTGAAGTCATTGGATCCATCAAACTTTTCCACGTCAAACTTTGGCACCGACATCTTGAATTTTTTTTTTCTCTGATACCACTTGTTAGGTAATCATAGTCTAATACACCCTAAGTATTTTGAACACTTTATGGATGTGAGCGAAAGCGTACACAATGCTTAAGATAATAATTGAAATCTATAACACATAAATAGTACTTGACACTGAGATGCACTTGTCACTATTCACACCAATAAAATAAATAAAGAAATTGTGCACCCGAATTTTTACGTGAAAAACCCAATGAGGGAAAAACCACATGACAATCTCAGAATATAATATACTATATTAAAGGATAATTACAATACCCTATCTGTACTCTTTTTATCAAGAGGTACCCAATATAGGATATCTTAGAAAGACTCTCTTCTACTACAAATGTAATATTGCAGAGCATTAGAGAGCATACCCAAAAAAAAAAATCCCAAGTGTAATTCTCAATGTATACACACAATACTCTTGAAATTTTTCACCACTCTAATTTTTCTCTCACTATGCGCGAATCACTTTGTTTGTGTTTGTTATATCTTAAGTCAATGCAATGAAGCCTATTTATATCTTAAGTCAATGCAATGAAGCCTATTTATAGACAACTCAATGCTCTTAATACATGTAAATGCATTTATTGCTTATCATCTATTTTCACCATAGCTAGTTTGTAGTCTCTATCTACTCACCAAAAACCAAAAAATTACTTGTCTTTGTTGACAATTATATGAGAGAAAGAAAAATCTTCCCTCTTATGTTGTTGAAATGCGAGCCACATGTTCTCACAGACAAAGTGCCTGCAATGATCATTGGTAACAAGACAGAAAAATCAGATTTTGGTTTGAAGTTTTTCAGATTTTCATTGAAATTTGAATAGATTTACAAAATAGAGAACTAATAATAACATGCTACGACTAAAAATTTTGAAGTCAAAGTGTAATTGACAACTATTGTAATTTATTTTAATAAACAGAGGCCTAACTCATGCTAAATCATAGATGCTGTTCTAAACTGGGAAAATAACCTGCACTTTATATGGAAACTCAAATCTTTGATTTTTATTTGATTGCTTCCGACATCACGTGATGTAGCTTTATCAGTCAGCCAACGCCTTCAGAAACCAAATTCCCTTATACCTTTTCTTGTCCCTTCACATATGAATCTAACTAGTGGAGGCTCAAGACCTCCAATAATCAGCGTATATGTCAAAAGTGAAACCAAAGACAGAACCCACTTTATCTGAACAAAGTAATATCTCAACATTTTTCCGTTTTTCACTGGTGGCATATATGAATAATTGGTACAACTTAAGTTTCCTTTGTGAAATGGGAGAATTCTAAACTTGAATTGGGCTATATTTAATACTCTTTCGTTGAAGTTTCCTTCAATATTTACTTCTTTTCCTTCTCATATATAACCTGCAATTTCATGGAAGCTTAATTTCAAACTATAGCGACTCAAGATCTAAATTCGACAATAGTCTAAATTATAACCCAGAAATATATTTTACAAAGAACGTTAACTTCATAATAGAAGTAGATTATGTTTATAACCATGGCTCGAGTCAATCTATTACAGTTTTTCTAGTTAGGGACGATAAAGGGAGTTGTAATATATTTTTATCTTTATTTCTTATTGACGTAGAATTTTGATCAGACTATTTATTTAAATATATGGAAAATATTTTATAAAATAAAATATAGAAACTGTGAAATTTGAAAATTAGTGAAAATAACCTCTGAAACTCATAAATGATAATAAGTTTACAATTAGTTTACTAACCTACCACTAGACTTATTTTAAATTTAAATTATTTGATAGAAAAATAACCTTTGAATGCAAGAGTGGAATATCTATCTATCTATATCTATATATAAATAAAAGTTTACAAGATTTATTTTAAGTTTAAATTAACTAACCAAAACATTTTATAAAAGATAAATTTTGCAACAATAATAACAAAAATACAATGTAAAACTTGTTTAAAATTTAAAATTAACTTGAAGGGAAGTTATCACTCAAATTCATAAATAATGTTGGGTTAGGAAATTAGATCCTTGTTTGGCCGCAAAGGCCTAACTTAGAAATAAATAATCCATTAATTGTGGATTAAAAAGAGTTTATGCTCAACACATTGATTCACTTGTAGATTTTTTAAAATTATTTTAAAGCGAAAAAAAATAGTAAAAGAATAATAAAAATACAAATTTATACGAGCTTACTATATCCTATATATATATTTTTTATATTAATTGAAGTTTAAGATTTTTTTTCATACATATTTTAAATAATAGTATTTATTAGGGGTCAATTTTATTATTACAATATCCTTGACCATTTTCTTAATTTTAAAAAATACATTATTAAGTATTAAAAAATAGTGATTATTAGGAAAAAAATTACAATCAAAATTAATTATTTGATGAGAATTTTTATTGAAATATTTAAATAAAGTATTTGTTGAAAGCAACTTTTTATTATGTAGTATAATAAGTTATTTATTTATTTTAATTATTTTATCAAACAATTTATAAAAATAAACTAATTAAAGTAATTGAGAAAAAAATTAAAATTTATTAAAAAAACTTCTAATAAAATAAAATTAATACATAATTGTTTAAAAATAATGTATATATCATCATACATATCTGTTTTATATTTTTCAAGAAATAACTTATAAAAAAGAAGAAAAAAAAGTGAAACAATAATTTATTTCAATGCTAAAATTTCAATAGATTTTATTTATTTATTTAATTGCAGTATAGAGATCTAATCTAAGATATACATATATTATCCAAAAGCTAAAAACGCAAGACTTTAACAAAGAAATAAAGAATTTGATTCACGTAACGTTAAAGTGAAGGGAAAAACCAACATGCGCATGAAATCCTTCTTGGTTCTGATTGAGAGATAGCCATATATGCTAGTTAATTTGTTGCTTCTTGTAGATAGAAACTATGAAATTTGGAATTTGTAGATGGATGTCCCAACGTTAATACATTTAATTAGGCCATGGTAGGGTATAGAATCATCAAGGAAATAGGGTAATTTTCAATCTTTTGTATATAAAAAAATTTCAACATAGTAATAGCGATTTGTGTCTCATGTAGTTTAAGATTTTAATTTAAATATTTCAGGCTAGTGACCTTCTAGAACATAGGCTAAAGTTTATGAACAAAGATAAACTTTTTACTTTTTTTAATTTTTTTTCCTAGGGTCCCTTTTTTATTTTTCCTTTTCTAGGTGACATATATATACAACTACACCTTACTTCTTGTTCAACATTTTATATATCTTTGTTCCTTTTTTTATTGTAAATCATCCATTATATTCAATCAAATAAAGTTCTTTCTTTTCTTATTTTTTTTTTATCTCTTCTCTAGCTTTGTTTCCTGTTTTTTCTTCTTTTCTTTTTGTTTTTTATTTTGTTATGCTACTCTTATTGATTTTTCCATGCTTCTCTTTTCTTTTTCCATGGATAAAAATTACAATCCTATTATGATATCAAAGCTTTTCTTTTGTCGCATCATTCTAATTTTTTTCTTCTTCATTTTTTTCTTTCATCCTTTTCTTTATTCTCTCTACTACTTCTTTTTCTTCTAATCATGGTAGATGGAAATCTGATTCACAATTTTCTTTATCTTCATCCTAACGAAAATCTTATGATAACTCTTGTCTCACCTGTTCTTGATGCAATGAACTATCACTCATAGAGTCTGTCCATGGTCACTATTTTGAGTGTTAAAAATAAGGTTAAATTCGTTCTTGATACTGCTCCTCATCCACTTAAAGAAGATTTGAATTTTTCTCACTGGAATAGTTACAATAATATGGTGGTCTCATGATTGGTTCACTTTATTTATGTGTCTATTTGTAAAAGTATCATTTGGATAGACAAGGTTGTAGATATTGGAATGATCTAAAGAGTAGATTTTCATAAGGAGATTTTGCCCGCATTTTTGGTCTACAAGTTGAAGTTGCTACCTTAACTCAAGGTGATCTCACCATTTTTGAGTATTTTACAAAATTAAGAGTTGTTTGGGATGAGCTAGACAATTTTCGATTAGATCTTATTTGCACCTGCAAGACGAAATGTAGTTGTCAAGTTCTTTCTATCATAATAGAGAGAAAAAGAGAGGATCAGGTCATGCAATTTCTTCACGGATTGAACGACTCATATAATAATATTAAGTTTCATGTTTTGTTAATGGAGCTCATTTCGCCACGAAAATTTTTTCTTTTGTGGTCCAGCAAAAAAGACAATTGTCCATTGGAAATATGATTGATACGGTAAAAAACAATAATTGTTGCTACTTCTATCACTTGTGCCTATTGTGACATAGGGGGGAACACTAAGAATTTTTGTTATCGTAAAAATGGTTTTCCTAATTAAGAAACAAAGAACTCTAAAAGCACTAGTACTAAGAAAATTTGTACTCGTTGTGGAAGAATTGGGCATACTATTGAGGTATGTTACAAAAAGCATGGATATCCTCCTTGCCATAATTTTCCAATAGCAAACAAGCTTATAATGTTTTGACTCAAGAAGATAATACTACTGTTAAAAATCAAAAGAACAATGATTCCAAAGATATTTACCTCACACCTTAGCAATGCCAATCTCGGTTGATATTTTCAAAAATACCATCCATAGCAATACTCAAGCTCAAATCAATCAAGTTGGGTCTGCTTCATCCACCCACTCAATAGTAGGTAATATCAATCTTACTTATAAAATCCAGATGTCTAAGAATAAATGGATATTAGATTCTAGTGTTGTTGACCATATTTGTGTTTCCCTTAATGTTTTTTCTTCTTATAAGCATATAATTCCTATAAAGATTAGCTTGCTTAATGAAAATATGGTTACTGCTAAATACAGTAGAAAATTGTTATTTAATAAAAAAATTCTACCTTACCAATGTGTTTTATATGCCACAATTTACTTTCAATCTCATATATGTATCACAAATTATTTCTTCTCTCAATTGCCAACTAATATTTTGTCGTGATTATTGTGTTATATAGGACAACAACAAGGAAGGGATGATTTATTTAGCTAAAATAAAAGTTGGTCTTTACATATTTGATTTTCCTGAAACAAAGAATATTATACATCATACTTCTTTTTCTTCTTCTTCTAATTATGTTACTAAAAGCATTAACTTGTGCCATTCTCGCATGAGGCATCCCTCCCATGACATATTAGTTGCTTTAAAAACAAAATATCCTTATGTTTTCACCGATTCTTCATATGTTTGTGATATATGTTTTATTGCTAAACAAAGGAAGCTCTCTTTTTCTTCCAGTGTTTCTTATAGTAATAAAGTATTTGATCTTTTACACATTGATGTTTGGGGTCTCTGTCGTGCCATTTCTATGAGAGGTTTTAAGTATTTTCTTACTATTGTAAATAATTTTTCTCATTTTACTTAACTTATATACCCTTATTGATTTTGTTTATAATATAAAAAATCAGTTTAATACTAAAATTAAAGTTATTTGTGCTGATAATGAGACTGAGTTTCTTATAAATGACTTTTATTCCCTTAAAGGTATTTTTCATCAAATCACCTGTGTTGAAACACTTAAGCAAAATGATATTGTAAAGAGGAAACACCAACACCTCTTAAATGTTACTCATTCCTTGTTGTTTCAATTTAATCTTTTTCATTATTTTTTGGTGTTTTACTTCCCAACATGCTGTTTTTCTTATTAATTGCACACCTACACATATTTTAAATAATAATCCTCATTATGAAAAACTTTATGGTAATCTTTGTGGCATCTCCAATCTTTGTGTTATTCTAACACTATTATTACTAACAGGAACAAGCTTGACAGCAAAGTTGTCCCTGAAATCTTTCTTGGCTTCAAACCACACACAAAATGTTACATTTATTTGAATTTACAAAACCATAGAATTTAGGTATCCAAAAAAAATCTTATTATAAGGAATGACAAAATCTCTGATCCCAATAGCCTCTCCTTGCCTATACCACATAATTATTCCAAGAAATATGATGATATTAATACTTGCACTTCTCATGATGTACCTACTGATAACATTTTGCCTACACCACATAATTATTCCAAGAACTATGATGATATTAATACTTGCACTTCTCATGATGTACCTCCTGATAACACCTTTTGTTACTTTTGATAATACTAATATTAACATACTTCCTGATGAAAATGATAATGTTCTTAGACGATCTGTACGTCCCAGAAAAAAGTTTACCTATCTTCAAGATTTTCATATGAATGTGATTAAATACCCCTTACAATATTTTGTTTCATACAAACACGTATCTCCTAACTTCCAATATACTATTATGCCCATATCTTCTTCTTTCATTGAGCCACACAATAATACTGAAGCCTCAAAGCATCCTCAATGGATTCAAGCTATGCATGAAGAGTTGGAGGCCTTACACACTAATAACACTTGGACTATCACTACTCTACCTGTTGGAAAAACAACCATTGGTTGTCATTGGATGCTTATAGCGATTCTGATTAGGCCACATGCCGTAATACTTGTAAATATATCACAGACTTCTCTATTTACTTTGGCAATTCTCTAGTTTTCTGGAAATCTAAAAAACAACAAATCATTTCTTGTAACTCTTCTGAAGCATAATATCTGTTCTAGCCTCCACCATATGTGAAATTCAATGGCTTACTTACATCATTCAAGAGCTTCACATACCTTTCATCAAACCTGTTCTTTTTTATTGTGACAATCAGTCGACTATTCAAATTATTTCTAACCAAGAGCGCACTAAACATATATAAATCGATTGTCACATCATTCGCAACAAACTCAATAAAGGTTAATAAAACTCCTACCTACACTCTTCAAGCTATTGACATTTTCATCAAGCCTCTCGTTCTAATCATATTAAAAAATCTTTATTCCAAGCTCGAAATGAAGAACATTTATTCCTAGTTTGAAAGGGATGATAAACTCTGGTTTTTTTTTTTATCTTTTTTCCTAAGGTCCCTTTTTTATTTTTTTTCCTTTTCTATTTTACTACTACCACCTATTTGTGGTTAGTTTTTAGGGTGACAATTGCATACAATGACAGACCTTCTTTGGAATTGAGGGGTCTTGACCTTCCCAAAAGTTTTGTAACTCTCATATAATTTATGATTTTGTCTCTCTTCAAACTTAACGATTATTTAATATGTTTACTTATATATTTATAATTTTATCCTCTCTCGGTTTTGTAACTCTCATAATTTTTAATTTTAGTCCTCTCAAACTTAAAAATTATTTAATATATTTACTTATATATTTATAATTTTATCATTTCACCTTTTTATATTTATTTATTATTTATTAATAATATATTGTTTGACCCAAAAAATAATAGCCAACATCCACAATTGACTATATACAACTACCCATTTCTTCTTGCTCGGCATCTTATATATCTTTGTTCCTCTTCTATTATAAATAATTGATTATATTCAATCAAATCAAGATTCTTAATTCCTTCCCAGCTTTGCTTTTTTTTTTTTTTCTACTCTTTCTCCATGCTCTCCTTCCCTTTTTTCCATGGATGAAAATCCAAATCCTTTTAAACAATAACATGTAAAAGCTTCAAATATCCAAATCCAAATCCTTTTAATTCTTTTGGTTAAATTTTAAAAATAATTAACAAAATTCTTTATTACCAAAGCAGAAAATTATTGGTTTTGTACAAATTAAAACTAGTGTAATTAATAGATCTTTTCTATTCCAATTTTTCTTGTTCACCTTATATTTTTTATAAAAAAATATGTATTAGTAAAATCAATATTAGTGAAAATAAATTTCAAATGAAACTAGTCTCCCATATATATATATATATATATATATATATATATATATATATATATATATATATATATATATATATATATATATATATTCGAAAGTTTAAGATTTAAAGTTTAAGGTTAGAGTTGTTTTTTTATTGGTATAGGCAAAATATTGAATAGAAAAACTTTAATATAACTTGATTATAATTGGAATAATTTTTTAACATATTAATTTGATATTAATTGAAAAATAATTCTAATAAATATGAACCGAAGTAATTGTGGTAGGAAAAAAAATACATATCCTCCTCCACCAGCATCAATTGAAAAACATCATCCGTTTATATTATTAAAAAATATTTTATATTAAAATAATTCTTTTATATTTAATTTAAAAAAATAAAATTAATAAATTTAAAATAAAAATACTTGCAAAATGTTTGTAAATAACGGATTTTCATTTTAAATGAAACATATGATGCCACGTGCTTTAAATATCTTATACTAATTTTTTATCATTAAAAAAATGAAAAAATAAATCTACAAAAGAAAAATTGTGACATAATTTGTTAACATTGAAAATATTTAGGCAATTTTTTTTTGTGAAATAATTATTTATTTCTCTTTTTTTAAAACAATGTTGTTTCTATATAATTTAAGACATAATTTAATTCTTATGGTCATATATATAAACTCCAATATAATAATTTATAAGATTAAAATATTTGTACTAAACAACGAGTTAAATAACATGTGAAGATGTACTTATTTATTTTTAATTAATTTTTATCCAAAACATATGGCAAATACTTTAAAGCATATATTCATTGAAACAAATATATTTTTTATCAAAAATAACTTGATATATTCTTTTAACCCTAAAGCATTTCTCATTTCTCTCATCTATTGAAAGGTGCAGGGAATAATTAGTAGGTGGTGTATCTATCCTTATTCCTTCTCGACGATCTGGGAATCAAAGGCATAAAAACACCCAGTAACTCTGGCAGAATCCCAAAATTCTGAATTACAAATGGGGGAAAACTATGTTTGACAATTGTATTTTGTCGAACACTCTACCTATAATTCATTTTAATATTATAATAATAATTTAAATTATTTTTATTTTTATTAAATCTTTTTTATTATTATAATTATATTAATAAATTAAGTTATTTTTTGAGAAATATTTATTTCAATTAGTTGTTAATATATCAGCTCTCCTATAAATTAAACAATAAAAAATTTACAAGGAAGATGTGATCAATGTAGGAGACTATCAAAATTCAAAAAAGAGACAAGAAAAAATGTACAAGGTTAACTTTTGGAGCCAAGTCGTAATTGTTTGTTTTTTGATTCGAATCCCTATAAGATAGAGAAAGAAAAAGAGATTAACTTTTCTTTTTTTCCGTCTATTCAATTGTCATCTTTTTTATTTTCTTCTGCTTACTAGTATTCAGTCGTCTTCTTGTTAAGAAGTCCCAATCCCAATCAAACACTGCCTTTGGTCAATTCAATGGACCTTTTTACCATAAATTTGGTCGAAAACATATTTACGTGTAGAATGGAGTTCAAAGTTTTCTACATCTTGTGTTCGTGCACGACGGACTTAAACATGGAAAGAATATTTGTGATCTTTATTTAAAAACAAATAATAATAATAATAATAATAATATTTATTTATTTTAAAAAATTACTGATATTCTCTCTCATTTACCATAAGTACAAATTTAAAACTCATTAACAAAATATTTGATTAAGTTAAAATTTTTATATATAAACATTGAATGAATTAGGTTTAAGAGATTGTTTCATTCGTCCTAAATAAGAAGATGAATTAGTTAATTTTAATTCATCTTCTTAGACTCCCTAATATTATGGGTTAAAATTAGATATGATTATTAATTTGTTGATTTACTTTAAAAAATATTTATATATTAAAATTGAAATAAAAAAATTATAATAAAAAAGTTATATTTTTTATTATGTTATTAAAATAAATAAATATATTATAATTTAAATTATAAATATTAATTAATTAAATTTAAAATATTAATTATAATTCGATATTTAAATGTATAAATATAATAATTTTTTAAATTTATTTAATAAAAAATTTTGACGAACCTACCGCTAATTCCTTAACTTATACCATTTCACACGAACTAAAATATCTAACCCATTCTAATTATAGTATAATGAGTCAGTACACACACTCCACTCAATTTTTAGCGAAGCGAACTAAATATCAAGTACCAAAATAGGACGTTTGATGGCGTGGTGATAACCTTCTTATCTTTTATACATGTTATCTTAGCAATTTTTATGTTTATTAACGAATGACTTAAATATATTTTTTATTTTTCTAATTTAATTGTTTTATTTTTTATTTTAAAAATATATTGTTTTAATAATTCTGTTTAAACATTTTATTCCGAAACGTAATGAATACATCAAAACGAGAGAGTAGAAGATTTCATGGAAAAACTAAAAAAGTTGACGTAAATTACCATATAAATAATCTACAATCGTCAGTTATATAAACAAAATATTTAATAATAATAATTTAAAATGGACAAATTACATAATTTTAAAATTATATGGATTGAAAAAATGTAAAAACACAAAAAGTAATCTTAACTAAATTTTAAAAAAGTTCTAAAAGCATATAGTGTATCTTTGATTAAACTTTGATTATTTTTTTTATAAAATAATTACTTATTATGACTTTTAAACATATTTAGGTAAATTTATTTAAAAAAATGTAATTTTTTTCTTAGAAATAACTTCATATTATTTTCTCATAAAAAATACATTATAAGAGAACACTTAAAAAAATACAAAAAGTAATATATCCTTAATTTTTGTTAGAAAATCATTTATTCTTTTTTTTTCTCCCATCAGTATGCTCAACCCCGATTACCCACTTACGGCAGTACGAAGAGTATAAACACCTATGTCTATGTTTAAAAAGATTTAAAATTTTCTTTCACAATCCAATAATTCAATAAAAATTTTAAAATAATTCTACATATAAATTTATAGTATATTTATCGTTTATAATATAATATTATTGTTACCAAACATATAAGAAGAAAAAAATGTATAATAAATTAGAAAAAATTTAAGAACATTTTAAAATAAGAATTCTAAAAAATAATAATATAAAAATATATGACTTAAAACATTTATATGTTCACTAATAATAATAAAAATATTTATTAAACATTAAATATAATCATAAAAAACTAAAACCATATTTGTAAATTTAGTTTTAAATTAATTTGTGATAAGAAAAAATTATAAAAATTAAAAATGGGTCAAAAATATAGTTTTCCTTTATATATTTTAAATTTAATCCTTTTGGCTTTTGCCAGTGCAAGGCGAACACCGCACTTCGCCTCGAAACAGAGTCGAATACACAACAGCCAACCAACCAACCAACCTGCTTCTGTTTGTCTTATTCTCCTTCTCTCTGTCTCTTCTATTTTTGGTTCATCGTAGCTCAAAGCTCAAATGGTCTTAGCTTAGGATTTAGTTAGGAGTATTCTTCTAGGAAAATATATGCCACTTTCTCTCTCCTTTCTTCCCCGCAAGTCCCCTTTTCGTGCGTGACGCTAACGCTTGCATCAGAACCAACTACATAAATAGAGCGCGCGCCAGGTAATAGAACAATCGCAACGCCAACTCAAAACTGTAATAAGAAAAAACCGAGACCACAGAAGGACTAACGCTTGCTACAGAGAGTGTCCGCGCGCGAGAGAACCCTAATGGAGGCGAAGGAGAACGGACGGAGCAAGAAGCCTTCCAATGGCGCCATAAACGGACCCACGAACCCGATGGTTACGCCTCTGCTCACGGATCTCTATCAATTCACCATGGCTTACGCTTACTGGAAAGCTGGCAAACATCAAGAACGTGCCGTGTCAGTATTCGTTGTTTTTCGTTTTCTGTTTTCGTTTTCGTTGCCGATAAGTGAGTGAAACTACGAATAATAGTTGTCTTTTTGTGCTTTTGCTGAATTGAGCGTTTTCATTATCTTCTGTTAGGATTTCTGCTTGATTTATCTGTGGCTGCGCAGTGCTTATTCTTTTCGGTGTTTTATTTGCTTTTATAATATTGGAATGCATGTTGATGTGTTTGTGTAAGAAGATTGGTTGGTGTTTGCTTTCAGGTTCGATTTGTATTTTCGGAAGAATCCGTTCGGTGGGGAGTATACTGTCTTCGCTGGTTTGGAAGAGTGCATAAGGTTTATAGCTAATTTCAAGCTCTCTGAGGAGGAGATTGATTTTGTCAGGGAAAGTTTATCTTCCTCTTGTGAGGTAAAGTGACTTGTGATAGTCGTTGTAGTTGTAACTTCCTCGTTTTTGGTTATGGTGGTGAGTACGATGATTTAAGTGGAAAGATTTGATGTTTTCTTCTATTCTGAATTTGGGTGTAACTTTATTTTCAATAATAAGAAATGATTTAGGTAAAAAGCAGAAATTTTATCATTAATGTCAACTGTGTCTTGAAAATAACTTTAGGATATCTAGATGATAGAAAGAGAAAATTCTTTTTGTTTATGAAGAATTTGTCCTGCGATGTCATTGCCTATTTCTTTTTTAAAAATAAAATTGGGCCAAATGAAAAATCTGAAAAAATATGTCCGGTGGTTGGGTGTGCTTTGATTCTGTGAAAAAGTTTAATGCTGCTGACAGTTTTATTTAGTTTCTCACTTCAAAATATTTGACTTATTAATAATAATAATCAATTAAATCTAGGATGGATTCTTTGACTATCTTAGAGGAGTTGACTGCTCTGATGTTGAGGTGTATGCTATTCCTGAGGGAACAGTTGTTTTTCCCAAGGTTCCCCTGATGAGAGTTGAAGGTCCAATTGCTGTGAGTACTTGCCCACCATTAGCTACCTTATTTTAATACTGATGTGCTTTCGAAGATGACCAATTTCTTCCATTAAATCGACTTTCTTATTATTCAGGTTGTTCAATTGCTGGAAACACCTTTTGTGAATCTAATTAATTATGCATCATTAGTTTCTACTAATGCTGCAAGGCATCGTAATGTTGCTGGAAAATCCAAAACTCTGCTGGAGTTTGGATTACGAAGGGCTCAGGTTACAAAGTTTTTAAAATACATTTTGATATTTTGGGAGAACTAACCTTCTTTAATATTCATTAAAAGAGATTCTTATTTTTAATGTAGGGGCCTGATGGTGGAGTAGGAGCATCAAAGTACTGCTATATTGGCGGATTTGATGCAACAAGGTATTATAAATTTAAACAATTTAGTTCTAGCATGTTGGTTACTGTTGAACATATGTCATGCTTGAGGTTTCAGGCTAAAATCTTCACAATGCCAATTTTATCGAATGTTATTTTTAGTGCTAATTATATGTTCAAATTGGAATATATTAAAATATATCACAGCAAAGATACCTTTTTTTGCTGTTGATTTTGGTGTAAGAGCTTGGTTTTGGTGACATGGTCTGTTAGTTTGTACATTGTAATTGAAGCTGAAATAAATGTCTCCCATTTGCCAGACATTTTTTTAACATGGTCCAAATGACTGTAGTAAATTCATGATCACTGACCAAAAGTGTGGGGTGCACTAGAGCCAAATTTGTTCCAGTGGTCCATTTTCTGTCACATCAATAACACCATCAGGTTGTGAGTAATAACTTACAAGTGACTTTAAAAATTAATAAGTAGGAGAGAAATTGTATTCTCGGGATGCAGGGAAAGGATTAAACTTATAAATTAATTACGAATGTTCTTCTTATATCAGCATTTCTTTGTTGTAGTTATTGTAATGAAATTATTTGATTTGGATGGCATAAAACCTTGAACTGACTGTAGCTTATTTTTGATAGAGTAATACAGTACTTGAAAATTGAAATTATGTATTATTTTATTTTTTATTTTTTCTCACTGTTTTAATTTAATTCCATACAGATGTTGGTTGCTTGCATAGAAAGTTTTACAGTTATTATTTTGGAAATAATCCTAGTTTGCTATTCTTTTTCGATTTTATTTGGACTTCCGTTTTTTGATCTTGTCATTGTAATCGCACTTGTAATATAAGTACTTAAAATTAAATACAACTGGATGGAGTAGACAAACAAAAATCATATTATTGAGCACAAGTTCCCTTGTGCCTATTCCTTACATATGATAAGTGAATAAACTGCAATTTAATTTGATAAAGTCAGACTTTATTTGCAAAAAATAATAATGTATGAGATTTTAATCACTTGAAAGTCACTTTGAGGTTTCATTTATATTCCTATACTTATATATTTTGGGTTAGTGTGCTCCAATTGAATGATCAAGGAAAATTGCTTTTTTTTTTTGGGAGGGGGAAGGTTGGCTGTTTTATTTTAGTTTGGTGAATATTTTGTTTCTGACCTTTGCAATGCTTGGCTCTTTCATAACCTGTTTTTTATCATGTGTGTCAATAGCAATGTTGCAGCAGGAAAGTTATTCGGGATACCCCTTCGTGGTACACACTCCCATGCCTTCGTTAGCTCGTACATGGTGTGTAACTGATTTACTGAATTTTGTACTTATTTGGTTAATAAAGAATTTCCAGTAAGTATGCTTGTCATTTTTAAAATATAATACATCTTCCCTATATAGTTGAAAGAACAGAGTTTCTGTTTAAATCTATCCTTTAACATGTCTAAAGGCACTAAATTGTATTTGATTGTTTGCTATGACAAAGATAGTCGGAAATTTGTCCTGGAAGAATATAATGATTAGTGAAGAGGCACTGCTTTGCAGTTCAATGGAAATACGGTTTTAATTCATAAAAGTGAAAATCATTGCAATTTGATCATATACATGCATGAACCTCATAGGAGATTTCGTAAGTGTGGGTGTAGTAAGATCAAATATTTACACCATGGATCAAAATTGGAGTGTGACACTTGCAATTGTAGAACTCAAAGGGATCAGATGAAATTTTTGTCCTAGTAATTTTTCAAATAATATGCAGTCAGATCAGACCCCATAGATTCACAGTCTGAGTGTTTGACTTTTGACCAAATGAAACTATGACACACTAAGGCAGGTCCCCTAAAAAAACAGTTGACAATGTGCACATAAGATTCCCTTCTTGGGATGTGGTGGGGGTCTAGGGAGAGTAGTGTTGGGTATTTTCGAGCGGGGCTAAACAATACGGAGATTCTCAACAATAGGACACGAGTCAACCATATAAGAGAATATGACACTATCTTCAACAAAAAATCTTTAAAACATTAGGTTATAGGTCTATTTCTCTTATAAGTTACTCAACTTTTCTATTTCTACTCAATGTGAGACATCTAACTCACTTGAATTCTAAACAATCTCCCTCTTAAGTGTGATTCCTTTTTACATTGGTACACCACTCATTCGAACGGAAGCATTTCTTAATCATGAATACCCAATAAGTAGTTGTTGCAGCCTTATCCATTAGTAGCGAGATTGTTTCCTGAACTTGTGATTTTGTAGATGCCCTTTTTTATAAAATTGTCAGTCCAAAAGCTGGCATGTAATTTCTAGCCGCCTTTATGTTGTTTATTTTATTGTAATTTATATGGCTTAAAGAAAATGGGGCATTTCTATTATAGTTCCCTTGCTTATTTTTTTGGTGTACATTTGTGCAGAGCCTTGACGAGATTACAGACAAGTCACTTCGCAGAAAAGATGGTTCAAGTACCTGTGATGATTTTGTTAGTGTGGTTCAAGCATGGCTGAACAAAATTCAGGTGCCATGATACAAACATTTACATCCTTAGTGTTATTTTTCTGTCATAGTTCTTAACTACCTCTTGTTTCTATTTTTGGTGTGTTTATGTATGTGGGGGAGTATGGCGTGTGTTCAGTCTCAACACAAGGTTTGAGTGGACTCGTATTTTTTTCAAGCTTTTATTCTTAAAGTTTTTTACCATCAGTTGGGGTGTCACACATGTTAATAGAAAGCAGTTCCAGATTCCTGTCATCCTAACAAGTTAAGCTTTGGGGTAACTGTGTTCACGTGATATTATTTTAAGCGACTGACATACTGAATTATGAAGTGTTTTGATCCTTCAATGGATATTCTACCCAGGAAAATATTTTCCGCTCTGAACTTTTCACATAAAGCTGAAATAATCATATACCCCTGATAAGTGGAAAATAAGACAAAAGAACTAGATTGAGTTAGCATAATTAAAATAAAGTCATGCCTAATATGATATAGGTAATTTAGATTATGATTATTTCATGCGTGCTTATCTTTTCCTCACTTTCTGAAAAAAAAAGTGTTGAATAAACATTTCATGCCAATGCTGTAAGCCATCACTCTGTTGTATGCTTATCATTCGCAGTCTTAAAAAATTAAAGATGGATTTACGAGTGAATATACTTTTGTGCTCCCTCTCTGCAGTTAGCAAATGGTGTTTTTGGTGAGACCAATCAAAGCGAGTTGGCAGCATTCACATCATATGCATTGGCATTTCCTGATAATTTTCTTGCCCTGGTTGATACATATGATGTAAGTATTCTAATTTTGTATTGCATAAAAAACCTTCATTATGTATAATCTTGGCGACATTTTACCCAGAAGTGTGCAATGATTGTGGGTAAATCTTGTTTATCCCTCATTTTTGTCTTATGAACTAGTTCTGGTTTCTTTATGAAGATGGTCTGATTAAACATTAAAAATGGAAACTGATACAAACCAAAATTGAATCAGTTATTGTGGGATCTTTTATCAATTTGACTAACAAATGATAGGTTATTTACATAACTGGAAGATGAGTGATTCATCATGTGCTAATAAATCTGTGTCGAGGTATGGGAGGTACCCCCTAATTGCCCTTGCGCTAAGGATATGCATAAATTTATGTTGCAAATTAATCGAAGACAAATATGCATAAGCAGATACACCACATACATGAATTATCTCCTTATACATTAAGATTTAGTTATGTGCTTAACATATGAGAACATGGGTGGGTAGGGTTGCGCTCAATACAGAGACACTGATCATTGGTCAGTGCCTTCAGTTTTCAAATAAAGAGAGTGTAAATCTACTGAATGGGTTCTTCTTGTGCAACATAAATACAAAGTTCTGGATACTGAAACTGTGTGACCAGTGTTGTAAATCATACCTCAGGTGCAGAAGTGATGTGATACCTTTCTTACTCTTGAATATTGGGACACTCATTGCCCTCCTACTTCCACCCGGCAATCATTCTATTGTATATGGCAAAACATTGAAAGTATGTTATGTTTTGCCATTGTGCGAGCTGTTATATCCAGTTATTATGTCATATGTCAAATGTCATTTTATCAAGTGCTGAGGTTGCTTTTTTGTGGGTTCACTCTCTAGTATTTTACTTTAGTTAGGCTATTTCTTCAGATGATTTCATTTCCATTTTTGACAGGTGATGAGAAGTGGAATCCCTAACTTCTGTGCTGTTGCATTAGCCCTCGGTGATTTAGGGTATGTCAGGAAGTATCTCATGTTACTATTATATCAGTTGCATCCTTAAGTTTTACACGAGTGTGAATTTCTTTTGTAGTTAATGTTCCCAGTCCCTGTTGTTTTTTAGTTGGTAGGGATACATAGTTGTTTTTTTTTTTTTTTTTCATTTTAGTATCTAGATAGATGTTCAGTGAAGAATTAATAGCAATAGTAGGTATCGTCGTGCCTAGTACTAGAAGTATGGATGTAATGGCAATCCTCATTTGGATGTTAATTATGATGAACTAGATGCAATATCTAAACTCATAGTTGCAGTTGATTGGAATTTTTCTACCATTACTGCAAACTTGTCCTGAAAATTTTATTAAATGTGCTTGGTTATGATTATATTTCCTCACTTATTAGAAAAATGCCCTGTTTTTGCAGTTACATAATTTTCTTTATGCTGTCTGTGGTGTATATTGTTGCAAATATCCTGTTCATTGAGAAACCTTTTTCCATGTGTTTTTTCTTTCCTTTTGGTGAATAATGGCATATTATACATATATACTGTAATGTTATTTTCAATTTAAAGATTGCACCGGCCTGTTGTTAATTTACTGTAAGTATCTCTTCTTACTCGCATCCTGTTACATAACTAATAAATTATGATACTTTTGGCTTTAACTAGGATCTTAGTACCTGTCCTGCACATCCCCTTTAAAATAGCTACCATTTCAAAGAATCACATAATTTCCACTCATTGCTTTGCCTTTATGATGTACCGACCAGATACAAAGCAGTTGGCATTAGATTGGACTCTGGTGACCTTGCATATTTGTCTTGTGAGGTCAGGAAGTTCTTTCGCGCTATTGAGAAGGAATTTGGAGTGCCTGAATTTGGGAAGCTGGCAATCACTGCTAGTAATGACCTCAATGAGGAAACACTAGATGCTTTAAACAAACAGGTAATTAATCAATGTAAACTGGAACTTGTTATCTCTTACCTAATAGCCAAACAAATGAGCAGTGTCTGTGTTTGCTGCTCTGCGTTCACATTGAATAATTTCAGTGTCACATAAAATTATAGTTATTGCACATGATTTGTTGATTTTTAGTTGTTAAGTTTTTACACATTCATTTACATTTATATATCAATGCTTGGCTTTGGCGGTTAATAATTATTTTTCCTGCTTTATAAAATTGGATCTGCAAATTTTACTAGCATGGTTGGATAGTTCTTCTAATATTTCCCATTCTCTAATTAAAACAAAAATTAAATTGATGGAAAAATAGTCAGCTTAGTTATGTAATTTAGTAATTTGTAGAAAATACGACGAATATGAAACTAAAAGCATGCTTGTTTTACTTCACTTATATGTGTGCTCCTGAAAAATCTGTTGTATATTTGGCAAGCATTGCCTTCAAAATTGCAGTTTTATGGGATACATATATTACTTCTGGGTTGTAGGCATGTAATTTTCCATATGCACGTAACATGGTTTCTTACCATGACTCGGATAAAACCAACCTATTTACTGACTGAACTCACAATACTTTAAATTACCAAAAAATATATAGACTCGGTTTAAATTAAAACAAACCGAAGTTATTTAACTGTGGGACCATGCAGTTGTTTATTGAAGGGGTATCCATCACTGAGATTGAGGATATAAAAACTTATAAATAAAAGAAGTTTAAACTGGCAGAGTGTAGGAATACTTTATAAATTATCTTATCTGCCTCCTTCATTGTGATAGTGTGGCTACCAAAAGCCATGCTTGGAAAGGACAATCAGCATGGAGCTTTAGCCCCAGCTCAAATTCAAAAATCCATAATCATTCTCATAGAGGATCTTAATGTCATAAAAGGTGACAGTGATCAATGCTAATATGGTACTGCTAATATAATAGAAATTATTATTACATTTTTCTTCTCGTTATGATAGAACAATTCACATCATGTTGGAATCCCTTAATATATATTGTACATTTATTAATCTTTTTTTTTTAAATGAAAACTCCATGACTTTATTTATAGTGATCTTGACAAAAAGTTGAAATTTACACAGTTTCTTGTCATAAATATTTTATTGTACGGCATTTTCTCTACAGGGTCATGAGGTTGATGCCTTTGGAATTGGTACCTATCTGGTTACATGTTACGCTCAAGCTGCTTTAGGTGTTGTTTTCAAGCTGGTTGAAATAAATAATCAACCTCGTATTAAACTTTCTGAAGATGTATCAAAGGTTTGATCATTCTAAACTGGACATGTTAATGTAATCGTCTAATTGATTGATATTTATTCTTAATATTTTCAGTTTCTTTATCTGTATTTAGGTTTCTATTCCATGTAAGAAGCGATGCTTTAGGTTGTATGGGAAAGAAGGTTATCCCCTTGTTGACATAATGACCGGAGAAAATGAGCCCCCTCCAAAGGTATTATTTCAATGTTTTGCACTCCTGTCTCAGTCGGGGTCGTTAATTTTACTTGTTAGTAACTACTATTGTATGTTTTCACCAGCATGCCAAGTTGGGATTCTGGTCAATGAGATTTCCCTTTTAGGACTGTCGCCTTGAATTAGTCTCAAGGCTGGAAAAACTGTCATGCTTTGGTTTAAGCATGTAATTGTTTATTTGTATTAACTCAGCATTGAAGTGATTGTTCTCGGGCACAACTGATGAACTGCCTAAAACAGTCATATGGGTTTCCTTGTTGGCGGATTAGATGAAAAAGGAAGGCTTACTTAATAATGCAGATGCAACTTTTAATAGAGCCTCCAACATCGCTGTTCTGAACAATTAGGCCATATTCAATTGCTATTCTTCATTCTTTTTCATAATATAAATCCAAATAATGAACTGACTGCTTTGCACCATTCTCTCATTGGTCTTGCAATGTAAAGTTTCCCGCATCTTGGGTAGTCATCAGTCTTGCCTCAAATCAAGTTGGTTCTGCTGGTAATAAAATGAAGACATAGCAATTATTTTATCATCCTTTATCTGTAGGTGGGAGAAAGAATCCTGTGCCGTCATCCCTTCCAAGAATCCAAGAGAGCATACGTGGTGCCACAGCGAGTTGAGGAGCTTCTGAGGTGTTACTGGCCTGGGAGTTCAGGTGAAAAGAGAACTAACTGTTTACAAGCATGGAGATCAGTAATAGCATTATTAGAGTCAGTTTGAGTAAAATTCCAAATAAGCAATTATAGAACAAAAAAATCAGAAAGAAAAATAAAACGAAGTTTTTTATAAGTTAAACTAAATTTATGCATGAGTTAAAAATCATCTTTTAAAGAAGTTAGTATGAAAGAAGTTCTACAATTTAATTTATTCATAAATCAATTTAAACCTATGGAAAAATGTTTTCTTTCTTAGTTTTCTTTTCTACAAGTATTTATGGAAAAATGTATCCATATAGACATACATTTTGTTTATATAAAGGGAGAAGAAACTGTTAACATCGTTTCCCATGATTCATTATTAACCTATTGTAGCTTTTGAACCTGCCACACTAACCCTCGTTTACCCATTTAACAAAGAAAAGGAAGATATTGTCCCAATGCTATGGTTGCAAAATGTATTATTTTATGAGTTCCTAAATGAAATGGTTATTTGTCATCTAAAAAACTAGATCGCACTCTGGAATATATAAAGTGGCTTACCAGCACATATCTGCAATTCATATTTTCAGTTCATGCAGCACACAACCGTCAGTTTTTCCTTTCTAAAGTAACATGATAATTCTTTTTTGAAGATAAAAAGAAAGACACTTTACCAGTACTAAGAGACATTAGAGAGGGATGCATCAAGCAACTCGAGCAAATGCGACCTGACCACATGAGGAGACTTAACCCAACCCCATATAAGGTCAAAAAGTTATATCTTGCTCAAAATTTTGGTATTGTTTTCATCTTGATTCATTTTTATTTATTTTTATCATAAGCAGGTCAGTGTTAGTGCAAAATTATACGACTTCATTCATTTCCTGTGGCTCAATGAGGCACCAGTTGGGGAGCTACAGTAATAAGGAAAAAAAAAATGGCGGGGGCCTCGAGAAAACCAATGGGTATGGCAAAAGAAGAAAAAAATGGAAGAAATTTCTTCGTATGGTATAGATGTATTCAATGTGTTTTGACTATTTCCAAAATAAATTACTCTGTATATTTATGTTGGTGGAACCATTATTCTTTCAAGGTCTTGCTAATAAACCATCCTTACCTTTTATAACATTGCTATGCAATTATTGATTATAGAGTTAAACTTCATACGAGTATTCAACAAATCTATCTATGTGAATGTTTTCTTGAAGCCTTTTTGTGTGCTAAATTTCAGCACGTATGACAACTTGTGAATTATGTACAAGTCACGCATAAAAGGAAATCTCAAATCATATCTAATGGACTGGAAAAACTCCAGTCTATTACATCAACCTCCTACACCTCCATTAGTAAGCTGATATTTGGCCAGACTAGTAGGAGATAGCCTACATTATCATATAATTTGTTGACTCATAAGTTAGGATGAAAAGAAACAGTGGTTGAGAAAAAAAATCAACACAACTGATTTATAGAATTAGTATACGATTCCCTTGCTAGTGTAAATATAACTGGTTAGACTTTATGATGCAAGCCAATAAATCAGTAAATAAAGTTGTATTAACGAGATCCTGCAGCTTAACCCAGCCATGAGCACACTCATAATTGATCTTCCGTACTGTTGATGCTGCTGGATCAATTATCGGCCTCAACATCCAGCACTATTATGTTAAATTTGAAGTTTGTTTGGACGAGTACCTTTTTATTTAGTGCAAGTGTATTCAAAATTCCTGTAACACCACCACCTCTTTTTCATTTTTTATGGTGATAAATACTGTTTAATATAAAAGGTATAAGCCTTTTCTACACTCTCCCTAGTATCTCTCCTCCCTCTTTTCTCTATCAAAAGCATCAAACTTTGTATCTTATATTAAATTTAATCTTTTATCCAAAATATTTTTATCAGATTCTTTGTACCCTATACGCTAAGGTAGGGTTTTATTTTGTTGTTTTCGATTTTTAAAAAGAATCCATTCTATCATAGTTTCAAAAAATATTTTCTGAAATGTTTTTGGAATAGTTCGAGTATGATTTGTATATATTTAAAATATACCATTCACCCCGATACTTTAAAATTTGTATAATTAAAATGAATATTTTTATCAACATCTTAATTTTTTTATGAAACAAATGTAAATAATTAATTTTCACAAATAAACAAATATATAATTTATAAACCAAACAAGCTAACTCAATGATTTAGAATAAATTATAGTTTTTTTTAGGATGGATTATAGGGATTTGAGATATAGGTTTTGGTTTAGAATAAGTGATTTGAGGTCATGGACTATAGATGACTTTTCCCATATGTTTATGATGAAGAAGGGTAGAAAAGTTACATTGGAACAAGATCAGTATCCAATTTATCCCTTTTTTTTTGTGTGTCTGGAGAAAGACCATAATCAATTACGTGGTAGGTCATAATTCACTATCTTCAGCAAGCACCATTATCGATTATACTTGAAACAATAATCCATTTATTTTTCTTTCATATTAGATCATAAACTTGGGGAAACTAGCGAAATTTTGAAAATAAGAGACAATTTGTAAGCAATTTTAATAAAAAAAATATAAATTTAGTTTTCTTCAAGTCATGATCGAATTTATGTGAATACCATTCCTCACCAAGTTAACATCATCAGATTCATCTTACGATAATTAAAGGCCAACTAACGTTAATATAAATTTTGAAAATTAATAACAAAAAATATAATTAAACTGATATTTTCTCTTTTATTTTTAATTTTAATATATTTTAAAATAATGTTCTATTTTTTATTTTGTAATATATAATCCATTTACATTAATTTGAAAATTTTAATTAACTTTTTTTTTTTACAATTTGTTGCTAACTTTAATTTATAATCAAATATATCATTTACATTAAATAACAATTAGAGCATGAATCTATGCATTATGATTGATAAATTTAATGGTAGTTTGGGTGTCTCCAATATATTGCTTGTTGTGATTGGTGCATAGATTAGTTTTATATTGATTAGCACTTTTAAGGTGTGTTGTTTTCTTGTAACTAGTTTTACTTTTGGCTTTATTTTTCTCTTAAAAAAAAAAAAAACTCAACTCTAGAAATTTTGTGGACGAGAATTCCAATGTTTTAAATTTTATAATTTTTTTAACTTTGTAATATTTTAGTGTTTTGTAATTAGTCTTCCCATAAAATTAAAGTGTTGAAGTTTTGCAAAACAACCCTAAATAAGGACGAATGTTAGCAACATAGTGAAAAACTTGAATATGTTTTCTTGACAAATATGATGCAGATCAAAATAGGGTAGAGGATAGAACACCGTAACCTCATCCATTAAAGTAAATGGGTTTAATTGATAAGTTTAACTCGTTTTACAATACTTATATGATTACAATAAACAAATTTAACAATTGTTTAAATTATAATAAACTATAAAATCAAGCAATAAATTAAACAACAAGTGAACAATTCACTGAAGATATTTTCTAATTTATGTTTAATTTGTAGAAGGAAATGTTGCATAAGCAAGAGTTTTATACAAAATGATGGAGAACTATGTCCAATTACTAACTATTTAGAAGCCTAGAAACTTGACAAACAAAAATAATCAGAAAAAGAAAAAGAAGGAATGGACTAGTTACACAATTTATAAAAACAAATAAAAAAAATCCTCAAATGTTCCCCTGAACCATAATCCTATCTAATGTATTTTTGAAGATGCCTTTTCAACCTTGGTTTTGAGAAGTCAAACTTTTCAGCCATTTCTGAATAATTAAGGAGTGTTAGTAACATATTTAATTGTTGATTGGATTTAATAAAAAATATAAAATAATGAATAAGACTTCTAATAAAAAAAATGGATAACTTGTATAATTTAATTTCATTATTTTCAACAGATTTAAGTTATTACATAAAATGTGTATTTAAAAGATAATATTAGAGAATGTGTTGTTGAACTTCTCTTAACATAATTATTTTATAATTGATTAATATTTATCTCTTCCAAATCAAGCCACTTGATTCACTTCTACCTCAATAAGTGATTTTTTTTTTTTTTACTTTTAATTGTTGGTTTGAAAATTAGAGGTGTGCAGTGCAAGAAAATGTCCTCGCGGTAGAAACAATTCTATTTTGTATTTTGTACTTTTTTTCTTTTTTTTTTTAATCAGTTGTACAGATTGATATTTAGATGTTTTGATTAACTAAAAGAACATATTTGAGCTTTTTTTTTAGACTTTTATTGTACCCTACTTGGTTTCATTGGATTTATTTCTTTGGTTTGATTGACACGTGACTTTTATTCTTGTATGAACGAGTTTTTCATATTAAATTATCTGTGTCTCTTGTTTAGTTCTATTGTTTTTTCTCCTCATTCTTAATATTAGAGAAAATTTATTTCCATTGCATGTTGTGTTGTAGTTAGAAGAAAATTTGCATAGTTTAATCTTATAAAATTAGTTTATATACATATATATATATATATATATATATATATATATATATTAGTATTATTTATTTATTATATTATTTTAATAATTTTAATATTATTTAATTATGATATCATATTAAAAAAATATTTAATTCAATGTTACAAAATCAATTTATAAGTTGAGTTTATATTTATTTAATATATCATATTGTTATTATATCTTTAATAATAAAGTTTATCATATTTTTTATCATATCTCAAAAAAATTTCATCACTCTTCTATGAGGAATTAAACAAATAATTTATTAGTTTTATAACATGGATACATATTCATAACTTATATTATATATATATATATATATATATATATATATATATATATATATATATTATTACTCATATTTAATATTATAACCATATTAATAATAATAAAATATTTTTTTTATTATTATATCAACAAAAGAGATATTAAATCGTTATTTTTATAATTGTCGATATTTTTTTTTTATAGTTTTAGAACCAAATCAAGAGATCATACCCATAAAAATTTCAGTAACTTGAGAGGGGTATCCACATGAAATTCTTCCTGCACCGGTGGCTCAGCTTTTTTCGCGGGGGGGCGACCGGGGAGCAGCCGCAGGTGGCGGTGGAGAAATTGGAGGCACATCACATGTTCCAAACGGGGCATTATGCTGCATATATTTATAATATAAACTGTAGTAACTATTCTTCAACACGAGTAATAATGTGATAAGACACCCAAAAAATACGACGCTAAAATTTTTATACCTCTTTTACTTTATTTTGCACTTATTATTTAATATAATTATATTCAAAAGTTTTAACTGTAATTATTCATCTAATTTTCTAGAAATAATTAACATGTTGTTTCTAAAATGTAAATGAATTTATATTAGCATAAATGTTAATGTTGTGGACATATGCCTTTTTATTCTCTGGAAGAAATATGTTAACAAAGTCATAAATTTGATTTTGTTCTGTTTTTATAGCTGTGTGTGATAGAGAGACTAGTTGATACCTTGCAATAGGCAATGTTGTCACATCCACAAGTTAAGTGACCATTGGCAATGTCAACAGCTTCTGGGGCTCCTCCTCCATCACTTCTCTTTTATCAAAAACAATAATGATTAGCAACCTCAAACTAATCATTATCTTCTCTATATGTCAGCATTGTCATTACCTAATATGTGAATTTTAATGTTCCTTTCTGCTAAGATTAGGTATGTATGTTTTGAAGAGCAGTGAAAATCCAAATGCATGTGTTTGTGAATGCAAGTAAAGTATTTGGAGAAAATAATGAAATGAATGACAGTCACCAGATAAAAATCAACAGCAATGAAATTTGGCCACCGTTTGTCCGCAGCGTCATGACAGGTTTTGAGCATGTTAACCAATGGAGCCGAATTGTGAGCACAAGCCGCAGTTGCATTAGCATTAGTCAGAAAATAGTTCATCAGAACCAATGACCTTGATTTTGTGTTCATAGCTGGGGATTCTCCACGATTTGGACAAGACCCATTTATCATTCCGTCGTCTCCATCTGAAGTTCAAGTCATTTTCACGCAGAATCATATAATTAGGATGAACCCCAAATAAGCTTACGATGGATAAAATATAAGTTTGAAAGAATGTTAAGCTTACATTGGTTTTCTACCACGTATTTCCATTGATGAGCAATGCCATCAGATTGTTCTTTTGATGATTTAGAAGTGAAAACAACAAAGCGTTGATTTTGTTGAACCATATGATCAACGGTTGGCCAATCTTCACCATTCTTAGGCATTTTAGACAGCGGGAACAAATACTTGCTCAACCCAGCATTATCAAACAACTTTGAGATCCCCTGGGGAGCTGACACATAGTCTTCAATGAAGATGGTCACAATTTCTGATGGATTTGCTTCCAGAAATGATCGAATGTCTTTGAGCACGGTTATAGCACGTTTCTTGCATGATGTATATGCAGGTGTGAAAGAAAATTAGAGCTCGTAGACTTGACAACAATTAATGGAAATTAGTAATCTGGTGGCTTACAAACGAAGTGTATTGGTAACATTTGCCTCCGAACGAGTGACACAACCAGATGTCATTTTCAAATTCATACAAATCCAACATAAGCCCACGAACTCCATTCTGTGCATCAAATTATAATTAAATATATTAATCAAATTTATATTAATAAAATAAAATAGTGTAAACATGTTTTTCGTCCTGAATAAATGATAAAATTTAATTTTTGGTTTCTAGTAATTTTAAAAGAAAAATCAAGTACAGATAATGGAGAATTATTTATTAAATGAAAAATTAATAAAAGGTGTGTAAGGTAAACATACTTTTAGGGTTTTTTTTTTAAGTACAAATAGTTCTAGTTGTGATAATTTATCAATATACTCTTTTTTTTTTATATCTGTGTTATTTTGAAGTTTGAGTCAAAGTAAAAAATATTAAATTTCTTCAACTTTATTTATGTTAATAGGGTAAGTTTGCCGATAAAAAAAAAAGTCTGAGTATGATATTTCTTTACATTGATTTAAATTTAATGAAACCAAAAAAGAAAGTAATTTTTTAGCATGTAAAATGTAATTTGAAGAATGTTAAGAAACACCATTTGTTGTTCTAATTATGTCAAATATCTGTGTTGTAAAATTTGAAAATTTGAAATGGAAATATTATAAGTAAAGAATAATAGTAAAAAGAATTGAGAAAATGAAAAATAGGGGAAGAAAAGAGAGAAGGCAAGTCTTACTTTGAGTTGTTGGGCAACTGTGTCTTCCTGTGTGGTGGTGGTTATAATGATTGATCCTGTTTCTGATTTAACATCAGATTGAGCATATGAGTTATGGGTTGTCAGCCACGAATATTTGTTGAATGCCAAACCTTTCACCTATTAATCCACAACAACACAATGCAATTACTACTCACTAAATTATTTTAAATATCTTCACATTGCAAAATATTTTTAAGATTAATTTTTAATTATATTTAGAATTCACGTAATAAACAGTTTTTATCTCTCTCTCTCTCTCTCTCTCTCTCTCTCTCTCTCTCTCTATATATATATATATATATATATATATATATATATATATATATATATATATATATATATAGTTATCGTAGTAGCGACACAGAATCTATTATCTTACGCATACTACATATGTTTCCCATCACTAAACCAAGTCTAATAGGTAAACTAATTTCTCAAGTTTTATTTCATTTATGATTTTTTATTAATTATGATATTATATTTTTAAAAAGTAGGCTGCGTAAAAAGTTAAGCTAGTTATGGTAATTGTCATGCTGATACTGTTTCAAGGTAAATTATTCTTTTCGTGATAACAAAGAACAGAATAAGTGGTTTTCCATTCTGAAAAACCTAACTAAAAATAAAAGAAACTTGCACAATAACAACACTAAAGATTAAAAATAGAGTTTAACCTAAAAAGTTACATTAAAAATAATTTTTTTATCAAAATAAAACTCAGTTAAAAATACACATAAGTTTTGTCTAATTAGAAATTGGTTTCTACCTTGGAAGTAGGGATTATAGGTTGGGTCCTGACGCATCTAGAGCGGGTATTCCCATTTTCTGGACATGTTGCACAAATTAAACCACCGTTGCATTTGTTCTCAGACCCACAAGTTTCTCCCAACTGTGTTAGTCACCAAGAAACTATTGAGAAACATTCTTCATTTAATTCAATAATATTGCAAATGTATGGTTTTAATTAATGATTAGAGAAATAATTAGGTATAGGACCTTGAGGCAGGAGAAGCAATTAATGAGGGAAAGTGCCAAAAGAACTACCACCGCCACTTGGCTTTGATTCTGAATTAAAAAAAGAGTTAGACATATATGAAATTTTATTCCACGTAATTAAGAAAGTAGAAGGAGATTAAGACATTGATTATTAAATGTGATTGTAAATGAGATGAAGATATCTAGCTAACATGCCTTCATGTTGACGCAGGCTTTCCACTATTTTCTTTGCGCTTGAGGGTTGAGAGACAACGAACATTGAGGATATTATGTCCCTGGTCCCTCTGTAATTCCCTCGTTCAATGATCCTTTTTCAAAATTTTCACACCTTTTAGGGTTTCATCAGTTTATATATTCACCTAAGCGAAAAATAGATTTGTTGAGGGGAGGAAAAGTAGGAAGGAGATATTGGATAGCGTACATGTCTTTATATTCAAACTTATACACGATTTAGCTCACAAACAAAAAATATACACGTCTTATTCCTATAAGTTGTTTATTTTTGTATCAATCACATTTTAACGTGAATCATGATGCATCAAATATTAAGAATTGAATTAAGATTGTAAATTAGAAAGTTGCCAAGAAAATCATTTTAACATGAAAATCCTAGTGAAAGGAAGACCCATCGGGCCCAGTATATAAAAACCTTTAGAATCACCAAGATCCATTAAAAAAAAAACTAATTTTAAACAATAAAGAAGATAAAAATCTTTATTAGTTGTTTGTAAATAATATTTCTAGATTAGGTCTTATGGGTTGTTCTATCTCATAGAAGTCTTTCCCGTATTAAAAATCTAGTGGTTATTCATTTTATTTTATTTGTTTTGATCATGATATTATTTGGATTAAATCATTACTTGTTACATGAGAATTTGTGAAGCCTACACTGAAGATGATCCTATATGTGGACTCTATCTTTCATATTGAGGACCATGGTGGCCTAAAATATTTTCTTGGCTTAGACACTTTCTCATAATTAATGGATCCATATCTTTGCCAGCAAAAACATACTCTGGACATAATTTTAGATTCTGGTTTGTTGGATGCTAAGACTTGTAGGGAGTAGTCCCATGATAAAAGAATAAATTAATTGTTTTATGAATCTAAGGCTCTCTTATGGTTATATTTCTTATTGATGATTGTTTGTCTTTTATACCTCAGCAATGTCACCCTCAATATTAGCCTTGCTGTTTAAACGTTGAGTCAAATTGTGCAGCTACATTACATACAATTCGTCCTCAAATACATCAACAATGTTTTAGTTCAACGGTTCACGTACGTGTCTTAGTCTACTTGTGAGTTACAATGGATAATTTATTTGTTCCAGATCTGATGATGTCCTTCATTACTCTTTCCTTGAATTGAGACAATCAATTTATCTGCCACATCACTTTCAATCTCAGCATCCATATTTGAGCGCACCAAACGTATTAGAAATTGATTATCACGTTGTTCGAAAAAAGTTAAGTGCCAACTTTTTCACCTGCTCTCAATTTCTTCTGCTGTACACTCTCCAGCTTGAGTCCACGTTAGGAGACTCAACAACCTGTTAGAATAGCCTACATCATTCTAGCGTGCTTCTGATATACATGTAAATATACCTTTTGGTATTATACTCTTGTATGCTTCTGATTTCATTTTCAATAAGACAAAAATTATACAACAAATTTGGGAAACAGAATACCTCTTTGGGAGGTTTGGTGGGGGGAGATCTAGTTACTGTAGTTTTTAATAGTGGCTGATCTTCTTCTTTGAGAAGTGAGGGGATATATTACGATGAACAAAGTTTCCATTTATGATTTTGACTTCACAATTTAATCATTATTTAACATATTTATATATTTAAAATTTTATTTTTTCAGTTTTTTTTAATTTTATAACTTTTATATAATTTTATTTTTTAAACTTAATTATTTATATATTAACAATTTTATCTTTTTAATTTACTCTTTCATTTACTTTTATTTTTTATATTTTTTTTAATAATTTATTATTTATCTTTTAGAATTAATGATCGGCCCTAATTTCTAGTGCGGCTCTGTTAGACCAAGAATCAGAATGCATGTGTTTATTCTTTTTTGGTCATTACTTGTTTAATATACACAATAAATTTAACTAATTTTCACTTTAGATTTTATGTATAGACATACAAATCACTTCTTCTTCTTTTTTTTACTTTTTTACTGTTAAAAGACAATAATTAGATTAAAGAAGAAAAAATATATATATATATAATACTTTTTATTATTAGATTTTTAAATGACGTGGAACTTTCTCAGAATAATTACATGAATTATATATTAGATTTGGTTTAAAAATAAAAATGACTAACTTGTGTTGTTATTATATTAAATAAATTGAAATTGAAATTAATTCAATCTTTATATATGATGATAGTTTTATGTGATAAAATAAATAGATATTATTAATTAAATGTGAGAATGCGATAGCATCTGATACGAGAGAGTCCAGCTTGGTCTGGTATTGATTATGTGCCACGAGCGAAAGCTTCGTAAACAGTAAAGAAAAAGAGATAAAAAATGACGAGTGGCCCTATCTGCCCCACCAAGTCCGCTATCAAGATTCTGCTTACACCCTTTCGGGTAACATCACTCCAACCTCTCTTGCTCTTCACTCTTCTCCACTCTCTTTCTCTTTCTCTTCCTCTTCCTCACATCACATTCAATCACACACGAGAGAAAGAGAGAGAACCATGAAACCCAACGACAACATGGCAATGCTGGCCAAGACAGACTCCGAGGTGAGCAGCCTCTCCCAGTCCTCCCCGCCCCGCTCTCCCCGCCGCCCCGTCTACTACGTCCAAAGCCCTTCCCGCGACTCCTCCCACGACGGTGAGAAGACCACCAACTCCTTCCACTCGAGCCCGCTCCAAAGCCCATTGGGCTCCCCGCCCCACTCCCACTCCAACTCCTCCCTGGGCCGCCACTCCCGCGAGTCCGCCTCCACGCGCTTCTCGGGCTCCCGCAAGAGCAGCTCCACAACCCGCAAGGGCCCGTGGAGGCCCTGGAAGGACAACTTCCACGCCATCGAGGAAGAGGGTCTCCTCGACGCCCACGACAATGCCCAACATGGCTTCCCTCGTCGCTGCTATTTCTGCGCATTCATCCTCGCATTCATCGTTCTCTTCTCCGCTTTCTCCCTCATTCTCTGGGGCGCAAGTCGCCCCCACAAACCTGCCATTTCTCTCAAGGTTCACCCTTGTAAACATATATTAATTCCACTTTCAACTAGTGTAATTCTCCTTATTCATGTTGCAATCTTTCACAGAGTATAACCTTTGATCAATTCGTCATTCAAGCGGGTGCGGATGTGTCAGGAGTTGCCACGAGCTTGGTGTCCATGAATTCATCTGTGAAATTGACGTTTCGTAACACAGCAACATTTTTCGGGGTCCACGTCACCTCCACTCCCCTAGATCTAAATTACTATCAACTTACTCTTGCCTCTGGAACTGTAAGTTAATGATTACTTTTTTTAACATATGCTCATAATAATCATTACATTTGTAAATGTGGGGTTCGATTTATTTTGATTAATTTGCAGATGCCAAAGTTTTATCAATCTAGGAAGAGCCAGAGATCTGTTAGAGTGATGGTGAAAGGGAGTCACATTCCACTGTACGGAGGGGGAGCGAACCTGAACACTGTGAACGGGGCACCGCTTGATCCGGTGCCGTTGACGTTGAGCGTGATGGTGCGGTCCAGGGCTTATGTTTTGGGGAAATTAGTGAAGCCAAAGTTCCAGAAGAAGATCGAGTGCTATCTGGTTTTGGATCCGAAGAAGATGGGCGTGGCCATTTCGCTAGTCAAGAACTGCACTTACCAGTAAAGTCAACACCGTGATTAATTGCTTAATAAACCAAACATTAATAATATGTTTCCAACGCTGTTGTTCCATAAAATAGCCGAAAAGGTAGTTTCGGTGTAGTCGGTGCTTCAATTTTAACAACTATTGTCATAATTTTCAAAGCTGAAGTGAAGTTATTTTTGTTTTTTCTTCTTCCTATCTCAGTTCTTTGGTCCCATTTTCCACCTATCTAATGTATGATGAGTACGTAGTTTCCTGTGATTGGAACAAATAACAAAATTTTGAATTCATGAATTATATTGTCTTTGCATCCCCAAACCCCAAAAAAAGGAAAGTAGATGGTTGGGCCAAATCTTGGATACAAAATGTTTGACGTTCCATGTAAAAGAATCCATTTGATGTTGTTTATGATTTAAAGAATTGTGTAAATTGGCTTCACACGTTACTTGGTTCACATGTAAACTTTATAGAAGCGGAGAAAAATACCTCCAAGGTTTTCTTTGATTTGTTAAAGAGGGAAAAGACAAAAGCTTAGATAGTATACAGTATTATATTTCTTTTAAGTGATTACGCTACAATATAAAAGGGTTTAAAGTAACGTTTTTAATGTTTCGCTGCTTGGTGAACTGAGAGAAGTAATATATCACAGCTTTATTACTTAACTTTATATCCAATAGAAGTTACTTATTAAAATATTTAAAAAAAATATTAATTATTTAAATTTTTTTATTGGAGGAATTATATATCATGATAAATTATTTTAATATTTTTAGTAAGTACTTTATCAAATAATTTACAAAAATAAACAAATAAAAATAATAATTCTCTAAATCAATAATAATTAAAATATATATTTTTTACCATATAATATATTATGTGTAAAATATATAAAATTTCCAATCATATAAAATGAATATATTATACATCTTCTAACGAAATTGTCAATATTAATATATGTAAATTTTAAATATATACTTTTATTTAAAATATTTTAGATTGAAAATTTGTCTCAGAAAAGAAAATTAAAAGAACAATATATTGACTGTGGCGGCAAAAGAGAAATAAAAAAAAATTCAACTGTTATATTTTATGGGTAATTGTGTTTACATTTATAAGGTAACCATGAATAATACAGTCACATTCCTCTACATTTATATTCTTTTTTCTGATAATTGTTCACTTTAACATTTTTAGTAAATGGTTCTCATCTCCTTTATTTTATTAAAAATGTTTTAATAATTTAAATAATATATTTAAAATTAAAATATAAATATAAAAAAACCATCTTTAATAAATTTATTATTATATATTAAAAATATCATAATTATTATATTATTATCAAATTGTAAAATGTCTTACAAATATATAAATAGTTGTATTGTTTACAAAAATATATGAAATAAATAAATAATGATAGAATATATGATTAAGTTTATCAACTTATTTATATGATTTTAATCAAATATAAACATAAATAGAATAATGAAATTATTATTATCCTTAATAATATATAAATGAGATGAATATCAAAATATAATATAATATAATTCTTTGTCTTACGACAAATTTCTCAGAATTAGACACCAACCTCACTTGTGATATTATGATTGTTAATTATTCGACAAATTTTGCACATTATGAAATCAAACACGGATTGTTCCTTACATGAATCATTCCAATAGTGTGGAATACTATTTTTTAAGAAAAAAAAAGAAAATATAACAGTAATTTTTATAATTAAATAATTTAATTTATTATTTATTAAAAATTATTTATTTTTATCAAAAATGTTATTTAAATTTTGGTGAATATATTATTTTTAAATAAAATAAGGGGAGTGAAACTTATTTTATTAAGATTAGAAAGGAAATTAGTATCATTTATTAAAGAGATGGATGCCTATTTAAATTTAATTAAAAGTATAAGTAGACGTGTATATAAGATCTAAAAATAAGCTTTGATAAACTGATTTAAAAAATAAGTAAGTTTAATTAAAAAAAATTGTAACTTAAATTAAATCAGATCAATTTTATCTTTATTTATTTGAATTAAACTAACCTGTTAGAAAGAGATATTTAAATGACCAAATTTATAGAACGGTTAAAAAAGGGCAAAAAACTAGGAAACAATGTGAAATAAACTAAATTTTATACTTGAATATTTAGTTTGATAGTCTGTTGGTAGTTCTTCTTCCACTTCTGATAAATAAAAAGATAATTTTTTTTATTGATTCTATTAAATAATAATTATTTTTTAAATCAAAATATTATTATATTAATATAACAATTATAAATTAATTTAATTAAAGATTTATTTATTTTACAATTAAAAATAAAAGTAATTATTTAATATTTATTTATTTTAATATTTAATAATTAAAGATAAATTATTATTTTAAATAATAAATTATTAGAAGAAATTTTGAGTAAAGTATATGATAATAAAAAAATAAATTTTTAACTTTAATTTTTTTAGTGAATGAAATTATTTTATAATTGATATATTAAAATATTATATGAAATAAAAATTAATTTTATTAATATAATTTAAATTTTAAAAATATAACTTTTATTTTTTTAATTAATTTTTTCATATAATTAATATTTATTATAAAAAGAAATGTTAGATATTAAAATTATCCTTGAAATTTATAATAAACAAAATAAGATTATTTTAACAACTTTTGTTTTCAAAAACTTTTGAAATTCAATTTATAATAAGAGGTAAAAGGTGATAGAGAAAAGCTTCATTGAGTAAAGATTAGAGATAGGGGTTTGGGTACTCCTGTAACTCGCAGCTCTTTCATATTTATTTCAGCTTTTGGATGGCCAGACTCAGATAACTTCCCCACTAAACGTGCTTAACTCACCCCCACCCGCAACTTGTGACACCACTACATTATTTTTTTTATTTTTCATTTTTCATTTTTTATTTTATGTTTGTAAAAGTTAAATAATCTATTTAACCCTCAATATTTTGAAATAACAATTTTATAATATTCCTTTAACATTTGATTAAAATATATTTTTTGCCAAATCAAAGACCTCAAAAATAATAAATAATTGGTTTTTAATACTAAATAATAACTTGCACTTATTATAAAACAACCAAAATATAGGTTTTACAGTAATTTTTTAAAATAACATTATAGATATAAAAATAAAATATATTTATCTTCAATGGCAGGATATGATTAACATTCCATGAAATGCTACACTTATTATAGTGTTACAAATTCACCAAGGCATAAAAAAAGTGTAATATGGTGTAAAAAAGAGGTGTATTATACGTACAAAGACTTTTTGCGGGTTACAATTATGTGGCCCATCTTTCACATGGACCGGTTCAACATTGCTCCAAATTAGATCCATCTGAACACTTTATTTTCTTGTTTCTTTATTCACTCTAACATGTTTCTTCCACCTCAAAAATGGTGTTTTGCCAATATAATAAATATCAAATCATAACAAATAAAGTTATGAAAAAAAAGAGTATTAAAAATATTAAATAACTTATTAACAATATTAAGTAATAATTCATTCACTTGTTATTGTAGTTTGATATTGAACTTTTATTCAAGGAGAAAAAAGATTTTGAATGAATTAAAAACATGAAAAAGAAAAAAGAAAATTGATTCTCCACCAATTCTTTGGTCCACTGGCTGAAGTGATTTTTATGCCAGTTTGATTTTATCAATATCAATCAACAACTAGCTATACAAAATAAATAAATAAAAAATGAATTTTTAAAATGAAGATTAAATTTATAAAACCAGCTATAATTTTTATAAAACATTATTAAAAGTACATGGAGGACAACATGCATGTGGTACAGTTGATCTTGTGTTACAAAATTGAGGAACACGAAGAAAATACTGATTATATCGTAGACAGAGTTATGTGGCCCATCTTTCACATGGACCTTCTTCAAGAGTGCTTCGAATTGGATCAATCAAAATACATTTTAAGATTACTGTTACCAACTCAACCACGGGCTTACTTAGGCATCCGAAGGTGTTCTTACATACAGTAGTTTGTGAATAAAATTAAATATTTTATCATGGATGAAATATAGAATTGTTTATATAAATAATTTTATTTCAATTTTAAAAATTTTATAAATTTTTACGTAAATCCATAATAAAATATTTATTTTTATTTTTAAGCAATTTTTTTTAAAAATTAAATGAGGTGCTCATATTCAGTTCCACACATGCACGTTGTTCATTCTTCAATCCTAAGTTTTTTATTTTCTTTCATGTGTGAATTGTAATTTGTGGATACAAAACCACGATTTGGAGAATATAAATGAGACAAGTTTAATTTGTATTAAAAAGAACTACATTACTCTTACCAAGTTTCATAATTATCATTCGTAAACCATTTGTGATTAGATGAGAAGGAAACAACAGCTTCCAAGTGTGTTTGATTACAACCTCAAAATCTCAAAATCTCGTTCAATGGAGACCAAATAATTAATATAAACAAACTCTATAATTAAATTGAGTTTGATCTACAAATAAATATTGGCCAAAACACAATTGAGTTATATTTTGAGTTGTCACCACACTATGATACTAGTAAAAGTGGAAAATATTTACTATACCATTAAGTAAGAACATGTGTGTTTACAGAATGAAATCGTAACATACCACCCGCTTCTGTTTAACGTGGACGCGATAAAACCTCAAAAAGACAAACGTACAATGCATTTTAAATATTTGCCACAACACCCCAAGTGCTGGGCAACAAAATTTTACGCAATATAATGTGTTCTTCATTCTAAATATTTTTCTTTGTGTTTATAGTATTGCTGTTGAAGCATCTAATGGTATGTAATAAAGCACATTTTAGTGGCCACTAAAATCGTGGCCATTGTTTACGATCCTCGAGTACTTTCCTGTTGACCTTATTGTTTAAAATAGACAAGGTTTAGTTCTCCTTCTTGACTTTCACTTTCGACCATTCTTCAAAGATTTTTCTAAATGACCCACAATAAAGAATGTTCACACACAAAAATCTGACAACACGCTGAGTGTTAAAAATTCCTCCTTTTCTTTTCCGTTTTGCATACCTACGAATATGGGAGTTGTTATTTGACCTTTTACTTTTGGGTCTAGTTGTTACGATCTAATACATATGCCCCTGCCACAAGAAGAAAATCTAGAATACTTTGATCTCACTCCTACGTTGCCAAAATTCTATAACGCTTTGTGTGAATTCGGTAATGGTCGATTCCTTTCTTTCCACCGTACCTAATCTTGTACGTGGGTTATATTCACTGGATTTTGAACAATTTTAGATGTTATTCCAGGACGGGGTGATCTGTTAAATTTTCTCTCTGTTGGTCGTCATAATAATAGTTAGCACTATTAATTCCGTGTTTTGTCCAATTGCTGGAAGAGCTGTCTTCACGCTGGCACGCGACACCGTGAAGGCCCAGGTGCTCCCATTTACCTTTTCAAATCACACTAAACTTAAACCAACAAGTCAAACAAAGCCACAATTAAAAATAACAGTGTCCACCAACACCAAATCATTGAATTGCTCACCCATTCACATCATATTTGTCAAACTGTTAAAAGCCGAAGTTTAATAAAAGATGAACTTGGGGCTGTTTGACGCCGACCATTCCCACGCATAAAGTTTGAAACTTCATTTACCCCAATATTCTCTTTGACAACATGTAATCATGCCTTCAATAATCATGTCAACGCTTTTACAACCACGGGTTTACGCCTCACTCCAATTCTTCACGCTCCTAAAAGTTCAAACTTTAAACCCCTCGTAATACCAAAATTCCCAAATAAAAGGAATTGAGAATCAAACACAGATAATAGTAACTAAGTAATTTACTATAAAATCAGCCTCTGTACAACGCGCCACAACCGGCGCCAGTTAAAACTCTTCCATCAACTCGGTTCACAACTCACAAATGTACGTATGTGTATCCTATCCAATGTACAAAAACATAATCAATGAATTTTAATATAATCAAAATTGAGATTGCGGTCAACAATCTTCCCATTCCTCGCCCAATTTCACCTAACAATACTCCAACCATCTGATTCCGACCAACTCGCCGGCCGGTTAACCGTCAAAATCCGCCCGAGCCGGTCCTCCGGCGAGCAGAAACCTTCCAAACGCGACTCGTCAAAATTCCACGGCGATTGAGATTCCGGCGAACTGGGAAGTGAAGCCGTGGCACTAGAAACCCAGTCGGGGAAATCGAAATGACTTCTGGGCGATTCATGAACGCGCTTAAATGAAACAGTGTCATCAGAAACAAAAGGGTGTTTCAAAAGCATCTCTGCACTCCACCTCTTTTTAGGATCCTTCACGAAACACTTGTCGATAAAATCCTTACCCTCTCGCGACAAATTCTCAGGTATCTCGGGAACCTCTTCTCCCACCCCAATTCGAAGCATCAACGACCACATACTCGACCCCTTCTCCACCTGCCAGGCCGGTTTCCCTGACACCATCTCCACAACGGCGCATCCCAGAGCCCATATATCCGCCGGCGAGTCACACTCGCCATCGGCCACTTGCTCCGGGGACATAAACATCGGAGTCCCCCTGCATTCACTCCTCTGTTTTCTCTCCCCTGCCTCCTTTGCCAGACCGAAATCCGCAATCTTGATTTCCCCGTCGTCGAATACGAGGATGTTTTGAAGCTTTATGTCGCAGTGGACAAACCCGTTTTGATGCACGTGATTCAAACCTTCCACGATGGACCTCGTGTAACGCCGAACCTCAGACTCAGGAATCCGGCCTCCTCGATTTTGTACCTCGTCGGCGAGTGTCCCGGCGGCGGCGTATTCGAGAAACAAATTGTAGTACTCCACACCATTCTCGAAACTATAGTCGTCTCCGAAGCAGCGAACGATCCTGGGACACAAACCTAGGCGATCGAGCACGTGTTTCTCGTTCCTGAGCCAGCAGGAGGTGAGTGCTTGGGAGGACTTAACGGCGGTCAGAGAGGGAAACTGAGAGGGAGTGGTTGTCGGAATGACTAAACTAACGGTGGCGAAGGTTCCTCGACCAACGGCGTCTCCTCGAATCCAATCCATGGGTTGCAATTAATGTTTGTGGTGAGTGATTGGTGGTTTTGGTTTGCGGGAAAGAGAGAAAGAAAAGAGAGGTGAAGGAATATGAAGAAGAAACAAGTGTGAAGTGTGGGTTGGAAAGAATGAGCAAGGCCGCCGTTTTATACATGGGGAAATATGGTTGATATTGAATGACCTAAGGCATAAGGCATCTGCGGAAATAAAGATATTTAAGAGAAAAAAAAAAATGGCGAACCAAAATACTAAATATTCGTGGATGATTGAAGCACGTGATAGGCAAGGATATTTTCACGCCAAGGAGTGTTTTCCTAATTTGGGTGAGCTAGCGTACCACACTTCTGAACGTGGTTGATGAGATCAACGTTTCCCAAAGATCTTTATCACAGATATCACGCTGCTACTACGAAAGTGACGTCTAAATACGCCCCTCTAATTTCTACTTATTATTATGTCCACACTATTTTTTTTTTCAATTATGGTACGTGTTATCTGAGTAATTATGCCCTTTTACGCATCTCCTCAGGTCATATCAGAGTATCTAAGCGTATATAGTATTTTTTTGGGTCCTAGTTAAACTTTTACACGCATTAGCTCCTAAATAATAGTTATTATTTCTGCGGTGTGTTTTGCATTAATCATCTGTTTATTTTATGGGTACGATCTTCACCATATTCACTGCTTCCTAACTCCCCCTTCTCCTCACTCAATCTTATCCTTTTCATTACAAATTGTTAGGTAGTTGTTGCTCAAACATAACAATTCCTGTCTCTCTATTTAAATATTCGAACCAATTTTTGGAATGTTCTCCTCTCTGTTTTTAAAAAATGGTACAAAAATTACGCACACTGATTCCATAATGAATGATTTAATAACAGGTGACAATAAATTTTTCATGCAATATTGAGAGTAAATTAGTATTTTTTGTACTTTGATAAAATTCTTAAGATTTAAGCGTGAACATTACGCAACTTAACGGTTTTCTTAAGATAAACCAGCACAGTTTTGTTTCCAATTACAAATACTTTTGCTGTAAAGTTATGAGCAGATCCGCGCGCACACGCCAAATAATTAACAAAATATCAGCACATCATACGACATTAAATTAAGTATATATATCCCAATAAGTTTTACAATTCTTGACAAAATTAATATATTTCATTTTGTAAGATATTTTATTCCTTATTTAATTTTTCATTTAACATGCTCCAGGATTTTTCTTTTCCATTTAATATTAAGCAATTCGAGATTGAATATATGGTATCAAAAAAACAAAATGTGATTGTTTTGCAGTAATTGTGGAATTTAATCGGAAAAGGCAAACACTGGAGATTTGGTTTTTGCAACACCATCATCGGAAACCTTTTATGGCTGCAACTGATTCGGTCTATTTATTTGAAAATCTATCATAACATGCAAAGCATGGATAGAAAAGGTAAAGGGTTTCCTGTCCGTATCCCATTATTATTTATTTGAAATCAAATCAGAGCCAAATGAGTGAGGTGTATATACTTATTTATGTGGAGATTAAATCAGTATAAAATAGAGTGCTCAATGGGAAAGGTGATAAAAATGTGTTGTAAATACAACTACATGTTAAAAAAGCAAAAAAACACGTTTCCAACCTCAAGAATAGGTTCACGTTTGGCATTGGAAATTATAATATACGGTGGACTTGTGCAATTACCAGCCGACACTTGCAAAAGATGCATCGTATACATTTTGTTGGGTACGTTCAAACGTGTATGCAAGGATTAAGGAATTTAAATCACTTACTAAATGAGATTGGATTTTAAAGTTAACAAAATATACATTTAATGTATCATCTTATAAAAAACTTATTTTTTTAAAAAAACTACCAAAGTTAAATTGTGCACTCTTCAAGTAGGAATAAATAACATATTCATGCTATTCAGGGAAACTTTAATGATTAGAGTTTGAACTATTTTGCCTTTTAGGGCTCTGGCTTGATTGATTATTGATTCTTTTAATTTTTATATGCCTTTGTATCACATTGATAGCTATACTTTAACATTCTAGCGTTTGGCGTCAAGAAGATTTATACAGTGGTATTATACTTGCATTGTGTGTAATACTTTTTATTCTTATTTTTCATATTATGAATATGCTATTGGTTTAGATAATTTGGAGTAGTTTGTATTATTTAATGTATAATTGTTAAATAATAACCTCATAATTACTTAAATACAATTAAGAGTATGGAAATATAAATATTTAATTCAATTTATAATTATATTTATTTAAATAACTTTAAGTTTGTTTTAATGAATTTGTTTTAAATTTAAATCTAAATTCGTATTTTTAGATTTTTTATTTAATTTGATTTATATTAGATATTATTTCTTCGTATATCTTTGAAGCTTTAATATAGGTCGAGTTTTTATAAGAATCAATATTTAACCTAATTCATGCTTCTATTTATCTAAGTTAGATCATGATGTTTTGTACATCACACAAGTTATTATTATTATTATTATTATTATTATTATTATTATTATTATTATTATTATTATTATTATTATTATTATTATTATTATTATTATTATTATTATATATATATATATATATATATTTTTTTTAATTTTAAAAATTTAAAATTAATGTACATACTAAATAATTGTTTGATCAATATAATTTTTGAGACGTTTTTTACTTGATATGTAAAATGTTTTTGTAGTTTTACTAGTTGAACAAATAGTTTTTACATTCATTAATCAAGGTATTTTATACTGGTTTGAAAATTAATGTAGAGTTAGACAATATAGAAAGTTGTCAACTTATGTTTAAATCGATGTTATATGTGTTGATACCTTCTTGATGCTTGATGTTTCAAACTTCTGTCTTGGCAATGTCTTAGTCATCATATAAGCATCATTATCATCTGTATATACTTTATCTAACTCCAACAATTTAGCATCCAAAGCATCACGTATCCAATGATACCTCACATCAATATATATGGATCTAGAATGAAATATTGGATTCTTATCAAGATGAATAACCTTATGATTGTTCACAAATAATGGATAATTGTTCTGCACAAAACCAAGCTCTTGCAAGAATTTCTTCAATCATAACAACTCCTTGCATGTGCATGCTTCTGTAATGACAATAAACTATGTCTCTGTAGTAGATAATGCTACACATTTTTATAATGTTGATTGCCACGCCAGAGCTCCCCCTGCAAACTTAATTAAATAGCCCAAAGTGCACTTTCAGTTATATCTAAGTCTGAGTAACCCATCAAATTGAGTTTATTACCTCTAAAACAAAGTTTCAAATCACTAGTACCATGAAAATATCTCAATATGTTCAATATCAAGTTTAGTACATATCATCACATACATCAAACTGCCAACTGCAGATGCATAAGAAACAATACTTATATATGATTTTTCTTCAACTTCATTTGAAGAACTCTTCTTAACACTCAATTTAACCTTCTTACTTCTTTAGTATTTTTCATTTGAAATCTCTGCAACACCTTTTTAATGTAGTGCTCCTGTGATAGTCAAATCTTCTTTTCATTTTTATCATGAGAGATACTTATGCCAAGAATCTTTTTAGTAGCTCCCATGTCTTTCATGGCAAATAACTCGTCCAATTGCTTTTTTAACCTGTGAATTTTGAAAATATTTTTTCCAACAATAAGTGTGTCATCAACATATAACAACAAGATAATAAAGTCATCTTCATAAAACTTTCTAACAAAGACACAATAATCATAAGTAGTCATTTTATAATATTGATCACACATAAAAGATTCAAACTTCTTGTACCACTGTCTTGGAGCCTCCTTCAAACCGTATAGACATTTTCTTAATCTACACACATAATCTTTCTTGCCTTCAATAAAAAAATCATCAGATTATTTCATGTAAATCTCTTCATCCAAATTACTATGAAGGAAAGTTGTCTTCACATTCATCTCAAAATTACCACAAGTGAGAAAATCTCATTGAAATCAACACCATTTTTCCTTATAAAACCCTTCGCCACTAATATAGTTTTGTACCTTAAAGATGTAAAATTAGTCTCTTGCATCACCCTAAAAATCTATCGGTTCTCTAGAGTCCTTTTATCCTTACACTACAAGAAAGTCACATATTTCCGACGTATTTTTACCAACGAATTTTTAGCCATCGAAAAATGAATCATTATCGACGAAAATTACCAACGGATATAAAGCATTTGTAGAATTTGGTCTTACCGACGGATATATCCATCAGTAAAATAATAATTAGTTACCGACGGATATATCTGTCAGTAAATCTATCGATAAATTAACAATTAATTACTGACTGATATATCCATCTGTAAATTCATCGGTAAATTAACAATTATTTACCGACGGATATTTTCATCGGTAAATTCATCGGCAAATTAACAATTAGTTACCAACGGATATATCCGTCGGTAAAATTATATTCTAATAAATTAATTATTCACCTAATTAAAAATTAATTTTTTTTATTTAATTTATTTTAATCATAATTAGATTAATTTATAATAAATTATTAAATTAAATAATTTTAAAAAATAAATATTTAATTATATATAAATATATAAATATATCAAAATATATAAATATATAAATATATTTGTATTTATATATTTACATGGATATACATTTACTTGTATATAAATATAATATATTTGTAAATTATTATAAAAAAATTCTAGTAGCTTAGTGGTTGGAGTATCGACCTCCACTATTAATTCAAAGTTATAAAAATATAATGGGGAGGGGATCTCTAAAAATATAGGCTATAAATAATAAAAATATTATCGAAGGGTGATTATTATACAAAGATTTCATCTCATGTTGCATTACAACCACTTTTGTTTTTCGTCACTTTCCAAAGCTTCTTCAAAAAACTCAAGTTACCATCAGTCAAAGTTACATACTCATCAGAAAAATACGAATACCTGGAGCACGGTTTTCTTAACCTATTGGACCTCTTGGTATGGAGTTGTGGTAATTC